AGACATTGATTGACATACGGAGTGCACGAAGTATTAGTGAATCTATCCATTTCCCACATTCGCCAAGTAATAATCGGTATGCTTGTGTACTTGAAACAGTTCTATTACTCGCCGGATGCATCCTACTATGTATATATTCACAACGCGTTGAAAAAATCTGAAGATTTGTGTTCACGACTTTGCTATTATCATTCTAATCAGATCCAGTTTAAAAGCTAGCCTTATCAATTTCTAGCTTAGAAGCGTCAGTTGTTTTCAAATTTTCTTAATATATTCAAGAGATGGCAAAATTCAACTAAGAGGATACATCTATCGAAATCGACCAAAATAGCAAGCAAAAGAAAGAAAAATGAAAAACGCCATGCCAAATAAAGGGACTTAGAAGGGGTATTAGAAGCACGGCACAACTCTATATTAATTCCATACAATACGTACCCAGAAAGGATATCAATCATTCCACAATGTAGCAGTTGGTAACAAAGGGTTCATTCAAGTTGCATATTATGTTTTTTTTTTTTCTCTTGCTATTCTTTTCGCACGGATTACCAAAATCCTAAAACCATCTTATTCAGACAACTAGAATAATAATAAACACAAAAATTAGAAAAGTGTAGGAAAGTTCAAGAAAAATTCGTTACAGCATTGTCTGCAGGTCAATGCGCAATCAAGGGGGAAATTTTCTATTCCGCCAAAGATATTTTAGATTTGCTAAGAATCCGCCTAAGTGGCCGAGTAGGCAAGAGTCTCGACTAGCAACCCAATGGTCGTGGGTTCAAATCTCAAGTGCGGTAGAGTTTTTAATAAAGCCGAAAGCCTTAGTTGCTAACGCTTTAAGACTTTATTCTTAGAATTTATTCTCTGGCTAAATTTATAATAATTATAATAATAATAGATTTGCTAAAGGTTTGTAACGCTTAGTTAATAAACTCCTGCACGGCCTGCATATATGTACATATATACAGTTTATCAGTGTGAATAACGGAATCAATCTATTCGATCATGTTTAAATAAGCCTACGAAAATCGTATGTAGTCAAGGATAGGCAAATGTGATTTGAAATATCATATATTTATATACCGTGTCGCATATTAATGGATCTATACCTTATCTTGAACAAACTGAACGTACAAAAATAATCAATATATCATAATCTATTGAAAATTTGATTCGCTTCAACAATAAAAGATTCGGTTCAATATGTATAATCAAAGCCGAATATATGACCTTCGTCTGGTTTCATCATTAACGTAAAAAAATAGATAGAGCAATTCGTTATGGTTGTGTATCTTTATATTACTTGCATGTTATATAATTTTGTTTTTATAACATTTTGCACATTTGCTCGCACATAGACTCATAGACTCATTCATTTATTCCCTTTGTATCATTGTTGATCACGACCTATAACATTTTATTACCCCTCTCGAATCGATTTATCTGTGAAATGTGTAGAGGGATGACCTGTGCTCTTTGCGAAAATATTTGTATATCTTCCATTATATCATAGTGATGCGCTTCTGAAGTTAAATAAATTCTATAAGGAAAATGTACTGCTGAATGTAGTCAATCCACCCCTATTTTGTAACTCTTTCTTCTAAATGAGTCTATACGTTAATGCGTTTTGAAAGCTTGTCTCGTACGTTTTCGTATGACTGTCCGTCCTTTTATATGTTAAGCGCATCACTATTAATACGAACGCATAATAACTTTGAAATTTCATTTTTCGGAATGTATCCTTTCAAATGTTTTTAAACCTTAATTTTCTTTTTCTTCTATATAAGCAAACATATATATACATTATCTCCTTCTTTATTATATTTTAGAGAAATATACGAAACATTTTTTAATCCGTTTAAATCACTTTAGTCAATATTGAAAGGATTTGCTTCACACATATACGAAAATAAACATTTTCATTTTGTCCAAATATTGACTTATTGGTGCGACTTATTTATTAATAAAGGAAAGTTAAATAATTTATTCACAGGTATGTACAATATGGCATTTGCTCATTATAAGAAAAAAAAAAAACCAAGTAAAAAAATTATATTCGGCGGGGGCCGATTCTCGCATACCCACCACTATGCTTTTCGCATTCCATTCTTCAAGTTATTTTATTTGATATCCATAACGATGGTATTATTAAGAAAAAATTAATCACGATGTCTGCCATATTTATTTTACAATTAACCCATTTTCAGGCAGATAACACATCTTCATGTGAGCAGCGTAGAAAATAGTTTTAAACATTTCGTTTTGTTCGTGTTATGATAAATAAGCATAAACCATTTAAAACAAAGTGAAAAAATATTAAATTTAATCAATTGTAACTTTGTGCGGGCATGGCCGATTGCTTCCATTTGCTAGACCTAAAGAGTAAAGTGTTTTGTAAAGTAAACGTGGAAAGCTTCAGCATTTTAAGTTCAATAATTTCCGAGTAACGAGCAAATACCCAAAAAAAAAAAAACTGAGTTGCGTTCAGTTTACGTTCCACTGCGCGCTTCTGCTCTAACCAATTTAGCCCATTTTCAATATCAACTTGCGTGCAGTAACTTCCAATGTTTCTAAAAAATTCGAAGTCGATATCTTCGTTTTTGCAACCAGGAGAGCGCCAACAGAAAACACCATACAGACGGACAGACGGACAGACGGATCGATTTAGCATTTAATGCTGATCAAGAATATATGCACATAGTTTATGGCGTCTTTGATGCTTCCTTCTGGGTGTTACAAACGTTTTGACAAAATGAATATATCTCTCATCCTTTGGCGGTGGGTATGAAAGTATTGTATTGAACGTTTGGGTCCGCATAACCATAATCCTCGTTATTAGCAATGAATTGATTACCTTGATCTCTCTTTTATATAAAATGCTATTTTGAATTCGTCTTCTTAATGTCTGTTTTTGCAAGTCGATGGGGGATTTTGGAAGCAGTGATAATGAAGCATCGCGCCGGTGTTTCATTATCCTTGGTACGGTCAGTGGTTAAGTAAGTTAAGCCACATTTAACGCACACACCCAACATCGTTTGTTTGCCTCGTACATCCAAGATTTACGACAGCATACTTCAGACATGTGATATCATATATACTTTTGTTGTTCATATCAGTTGTTATTATCGGGATGTTCATCCTCAGATTAGTTTGTTTTATTATCCTCCCCACTATCACGACTAGAACTGCTTGTAATTGTTGTTTTACTTTATTAAATTTTACATGTTTTGGTGTGCCGTAATTGTTGTTGTTTGTGTTTGGAATGCAACCATTGATGCTTGCATTCTCGGATGTACTATTTACCACTGTTATTATTCTTTAATGCATTTAAATTGTTGTTATCAAACTATTGTCTTTTGCTTTTGAAAATTTTTTTTTGATTCAGTTTGCCGATCTTTTTTTAATCATAGCCGCAGCAACCATTGGGTAGCTTATATAACTTATCGCCATCACCAGCACTGCCATCATCTACGATAGTAGACGAAGGTAATGTTAATTGCGCGATCGCAGTCAACAGAGAACTTTGCTTGTCCTTTAAGCTTTTAGAGTTATGAAGATGTTCTTTTTTTTTGTTTTTGTAAATTGACATTAGCGTAAAAGAGATCAACGCGACGGTTCACTGCAAGAGCAAGAGAGACTTTGTATATTAAAATTTTAAAGGCATATTAGCTTCCATTCGCAGCTAACTCTGTCTTCCTCAAACTTTTATTCTTCTACGATACGGAAACCAAAAGTCAAAAATAACATTAGATGTAATTTTATAGAACCCTACAGAAGGGATACCACAAATTTATGCTATGCCTAGCGTCCTTTCTGTTTCGCTGTTTATCCGGTGGTTTTTATGAACTGTCAAAACACTTAAACAGTTTACAGTTAAATATATTACGTTCTCGATGTTATCAGCCAACTTTTGGAGGTCACCGTTGCATCGTTTACATAGCTGCCCCTCGCTCGCTACAATAAGTGTGCGAAACGCTTGCAATGAGAAAAAAAAGGCTTTACATCTAAACGCTGAAAAGTTCAATTAATATCGAATATCGCAAAAATCTTTTTTTAATAAATGCGTATTAATAAGCCACGAGTCTCTTTAAGCGAAAATCGTAAATGGGTTTGATTGCTGCTTGTTTGATTGGTTTGTTATTATGTTTTTTTTTTTGAATGGATGGGAGCTATGGTATGATAAAGTTATTAACATCATTATAACATAAAACCAGTCACATTTGTATTATAGAGTTTGAAGCAAACACATTTCCGCATAATTAAAAGAAGCAAAAACGCGGGATATTCGAACCCAATAACCATTCTGTCGTCGAAAATTTACAGCTTTCCACATTTTCGTTGCATAGATGCTACTATAAACTGGGCTCCGACATGGTATGAAAAGCAGGGTTACGAAGCTGCCGTTTATAGTGCCATACCGACGAAGGACTGATTTTTTGAACCGTAAATTTGTTTTCAGAGACTTCACTGTTTAAAATATTTGCGATCTACTTTTTTTTCAAGTTTTTCTGTCTACGTTCATCCCAATACCCTTTAAACTTTACCACGTACTGCAATATGATGAAATTCAACTCTAAAAAAGTTAAATGTGACCCGCATTAATTCCTGGGTTTCATTATATACAAGCTCCAATGTTCCAGATGAAATTGTTTTAAATTTCGGGAATGAGTTCTGAAGTTAATTCTTTTTTGTATAAATGTCAAATATGAGCGCTTTACGTCTCTCCGAAGGACGAGGAGTATATCCGTTTTGTCAAAACGTTTGCAACGCCCAGTAGGAAGCATTAAAAACCTAACAAAGTGTATATATTCTTGATTAGCATCAAATTCTAAATCGATCACGCTAGTCTTAACACCGTTGTGTGTGTGTTTGAGTGTCATTTACAGCTTTCCGAAAAATGTCCACAGATAAAAAGAAAATTTATTATGAAAATAATTAATTTATTAAATTTATTTCAAGAACTTATTTTGAATTTATCCCGAGGACAAATTTTTATGTTCAATATTGACCAAATTTTCTCTGATAATAACGAGACAAATGGATTCGAAAACTTCTTTAATTTTCGTGTACTTGAAGAATTAAATATTCCGTAATTACTTTATAGGTCGAATTCAAGTACGCAGATTCCATCAAAATAGTAATAGAAACCGCTGAAAAGCTGCTACTCCACGTGGAGAAATATAAATAAATTTTCTTGCTGAGATTAAATACAATCATGTATTTTTGAACGCAGCAATTAAATAATGATTTCTTCCTCGTATAAAGGATCGGGACAAATAAATTCAGAAATCGGACTCGCCGGACGATGGCCATCTACATCTACATCACTGGACGATGACGATAACTGTATAATATCAATAACAGTTGGTTCTGTTCGGCTGTGTGTTGCTTGTTCAACATTTGAAATGCGTAATTTTAGGCCACTAGCAGAGCGTGGTGTAACGACCAAATTTGCATGGCGACAAGCATTATGCGATGGGGATAGAGTATCAGTTGCAGCCGCATTTGAAAAGCGATCTCGATTGAAACGCTTCTGTGCTTTGCGTCGGTACGGTTTATATTCATCCGAGAGGCTGTAATCTGAGGAATCAGATGGCAACCGTCGACGTTTATGATAAACTTTAGAGTTGGTACCGAGAGAATTACTGCCAGAACTTTCATCGCTATCGAAACAGACTAAAATTATAGATTAACATAAGTTAATTGATCTTGCAGTAATAAATAATGTATATCGTACTTATCTTTTGTATACGTCTTCGTTTTTTGGAATTGTTTAATATTTCTGCCCGTGAGTCGACACTAACACGTTTCAGCAGTACTCTGGGCTGACGCAAATTACTGAGATCGTTTACATTCAATTTACGTAAGCGCACTTTCAATTGCTTTTTGAAGCAGGCATTTTGAAATTCCAAAAATCGTCTAGTCTTTAACAAGTCCTGCGCGTCTTTCCGATTATGGTACGAAACTGGCTCATCACATACTGTTGCTATTTCTTCCAATATTTCCGAATCGTAAGTACGACTTTTGTCAGTCATATTTGCACCAATTACTTGTTGTGAAGCAGATCCATTATCATCTGAAATAAGTTCCGCTACATGCATTTTCTGTTATTTTTTCTTGTTATCTAATAAAAAGGTTAATAATTTACCAAGGCTTTTAAAATCTTTCACTTTGTCTAATGATCTTTCGCACAGGTCTTCTAATTGCTCTGCGGGCTGCGATTGCTCAAAGGTACTTTTAGTAATAAGTTCGCAATTTTTGTGACATGCTTTCGTCGGGATTTCAGCAAAGTGTTTCGACGTATATTCACTTTTAGGAGTTAACGGGATTGCGTTTTGAATAACCGTCGAGTGTTCAGTGTTCATATTGATCGCTGATTGATCTCCGCATTCCCGTGCCTCAGAATGAGGGACGATTTGCTGCTTTTGTTCTATAACGGCTGAATAAGCGTTTCCAAAATCGCATAACTCAATATTTTTGTCGCTAGGGCATTTACTATTCTCATAATTTTTATTAGTGACTATAGCAATATTATTTTGAAGAATATCTGGCATTTGGACGATTTCCTGAAATGATATTTATGAGCTGTTAATAGCTAACCGCTCCGTAATATACCTTAATACTTACTTGCTCTGTTATGATATTTTCGCACTTAATATTTTCCATTATCACCCCAGCAGTACCTTGAAATATTCGCATAAGGAAAAAAAAATAAGAAATTATACTTCCATCTTTGTTATGTTAATACCTTCTTGAACAGTCAGTTCCCCTTCTATGCATTCGGAAGTATTTTCAACAGTTCCAGTAGCACAATCATGCAGCGGAGATGCTATGAAACAAAAATTTTTGATTAAATTCTTTTAAAAGCAAATATTAAGCTAACTTTTTTTTAATTTGTGCGTATCCTAACGTCACACCCATATAAAATTTTTTTTTAATTCTAAAGTTGTTCTACTTTATTTAATTATTTTTATTTTTACCGTGTTTATCGTTCTTATGTTCTTCTTCTTTTTGTCCCATTTTAATGACTCCTTGCAAAGTCTTCAATTGCTGGAAACGCTGTGAAACTTCCAAAGACTTCAGAAGACTTGAACCTTTGTCGATTGCTTTCAATTCACAATTTTTTACATTCCAAACATCAGCAAGTGCTTTGAAGCCTTGCGTAGAGTTTATATATTTGGGACGTACTTTCAGCCAATCATGAAGGTCTCTTTTAAGTACGGCAGTACCTGCGCTTTTTTCTTGATCGCGACCCGCGAGAGAGGTAGAAACGTTTGGCTCCGGGGATTTTTGGCCAGGCGTACTATAACAAGACTTCTTAACGTTACTCAGAATTGCGTTGGCTACGGCAGCAGCTGTGCGGGCTCTAGTTCGACGTTTACCAAATGCCTGGAATTCAGCATCATTTTGGAGGATATTTTCTGAAAGAGATTAGCCCAAGTACAATTACAAAAATTATCTATAGACTAATAACGTTTTTATACCTTCAATCATATTTTTTTGTTTCTGGAGCTCTCTACCAGGTGTCGTATAGTTATCTTCATCATCCTCAAAATCCTCGCCTTCTTCCTCTTCCTCCTCTTCATCGTCCACAGCATCGCTTTCATTGTCAATATATTCACCCGAATAAATATGATTTTCATAACCCTCTTCTATGGTGCCGTAATCGAGTTGGGGTCTGTTTTTATATTTTTCATAATCGACATGTAAAAATTTCAAACGGTCATTCGCTTCCGCCATATTGAGTTCAATAAATCGTCGCTTTTCTAAAGAATTTTTCAATATCAATTTGCATCGTTTTCGTAACTCTACCCAGTTAACAGCCCAAGCGAAATTTTTGTTGCGTGGTAAAAATATTACCGTCAATATATCTTTTACCACACTCTCCGGTAATCGTAGCGAATGCAATGATTGAAACAATGGCTTATAATCGCAAGCAAGTGCCTCGTTATTAGTTACGTCAGCAATTTCTTTTACATCAATTGTTGAACTTAATAAACCATATTTAGCATTGAGAACAGGGATCTTTTCAGCACCCAGTGACACAGGGGATTTTTGGTGTTCCTCAAAGCGACGCTTATTAAAACGCATACCACAACGAATGACATGATCGTGGAGTCTATTAGTAGGATTCAAATAGAAAGCTGTAAGCCAAAATTCTTGCTCAAGAAACGGATGTTCTTCGAACACCTTTGCCAGGTCTTCATAATGCCTCGAAAGTTTTATTTCCAGGTTCAACATAAAATTTGTGGTAAGGCCTGGATGATAGCGCCATGTTTCAATAGCATTCAGTTCGTGGCCAATGATTTTCAACAGTATTATAATTTTGGCGAAATGCCAACCTTTGTACGACTGAAATATTATATATAAACAATACTAAGAATATTGATAATATGAACAAATTTGTCTACTTACTCGCAGCGCCAATAGTTCATAAACGTAATACAAGACATTCTCGCTGTTTGGTATGTTTTGAAATACGGTATCTAGCTTTCTATCACTTTTTCCATTATCTGCGTTACACCCATTTTCGTAGCGATCATCAGCAATGCTTTCTTCTCGGTCGTCAGCATTCTCATAGCTGCCAATATTACTCATGCGATTTCCTTTACATATTTTACTTTTAAAATCGGTCATATATCGTATAGTTTGCATAACATTATGAGCATAATGTTGTGCTTCCTTTTTACGCAGCTCTTCCAAAAGAAAACGTTCGCTATTTTCCCGTTCTACTACATACATATTCATGTAAAACTTGTAGAGTTGAAAGTTGGAAGCAAAGTTTTCTTCGTTCATCAAATTTAATTCCATTAGCATATTTCCAAGTAAGTAGCTTTTATAAGCTTGTGATGTAACACCAAACAAAGTTACCAAATGTGTGTCATATGAATGGCAAATAAATGATTCGAAAAATTCTCGCTTTTCCACGGACAAATTAACGCAAGTCAAAGCTATAAAACGGGCTGGTGTGTATTCTACACTTTCCATTGCGTGCGGTGATTTCGAAACTTGCATTTTAAATCCTTGATAGTAAAACCGTATATTATTAATCTGGAATAGTGTATACTTAATTACTATAGATTCAAACGGAAATTTGTCCGCTTATCACATACCATATTGTCTATAACATAACCTCGTACGCCATCCGTTTCATAAACAGCCATCAAATATACGTGACACATGAAAATCAAAGAACGTTTATCCTCGCGATTTACTATTACTCGGTTGTCTCCAAACTTAGCATTCCAAGCGGCAATGACACGCATTGATAATGTCTTAACAACATCCATCGATTTGCTATCAAATAACTTTATAAGACGTAATAAAATTAAAAGCAATTGCTCCTGCTCGAAATAGTTGATATCTGCAAGTATTTTCATAAGATAAATTTAATGGTAAAATAAAGCACCTTAATACCTTTTATATTAGCTGGGTCTTCGGTAGTTTCTAAAGAATTCATTTTGCTGCCGTCTCGGACTTTATTCATATATATATTTAAATCTTTTAAGTAGTTGACATTATACGGTGTTAAACCCAATTGCAACCATTCCTCCCATTTAATTGATTTAAAACATTTTTTCAGCAAGCCTTTAGCTCTTTCAAGGCAGTATAATAAAGCCATACGAAAGGATTGACGGCAACATTTCCATTCTTCACTAAACCATATATTTAAGCTGTACGGCACCACCATTCGCATTACTATGCGAAGATGTTCCCACTTCCTTCCATCTTCTCTCTGTTCATAATCGTTACACAATTCCCATACGTAAAGCAATATATTAATACGTTCTTCGCCCATCAATGGAAATATATCCAAATCACTCTCCTGCATTATATAAGTCAGTTTGAACTAAAAATCGAAATAAAATATTTATTAAAAATATTCTAAGTGCAACTTTTGTAATTTACATACCGCAGCCATTTTATCAAAACCGATTGCCTGAGCACTTTTTAAAAATCTTTCCCTATCTATAGTATTAAAAGGTAATATGGCTTCCATTATGATTTTATTATTTAACGTTTGTCACTGGCTTTTAAAACATTTCTCGAAATTTTATATTTTTTCATCGAGCTTGGAAGCCGAAATGTGTAAACAGCTGCTAATAATCAGTTGTTTCACAACATTATTGAACTTGCAGCTAGGTAGGTGAAACACATAAAGTTTCGCTTATGTTCCCACATCTGAGCAGCATATAAAGGTTGCGCGCAGTAACACAAAGAAGACCGTGCTTGCCTCACTATTCATTTTGCAGGAAAAATTAAACAAATCTATGTATATGTAAACAATTAGCTTATGCTTTGAGTAGCAAACACAAAGAAACTAATAGAAAAGTTGTACTCTTGATACAATGAAGTGTCGTTTTGCTTTCATCTCTGGGAATAAAAGGTGAATATATGGAGAGCAATGTAAGCGAACACAATGTAACTGCGCATCCCGAAAAATTGTTTAACTTGTTGTGAGCCTTTGTAATAATTGGCAAATCATATGACTTTGTATGTGACTAACAAAAGGAAAAGAAAAAGTAATAGAAAAAACTTATTTCAAATTGAGAAACTCTGTTTGTAAATACACGTTTCATATTAAATTATTTTATCTCCGTTTTTATTTATCATCGGACAGGGGGGAGGGGGGGGGGGGGCTTTTTAACGCTCAGGCGGAAAGTTCAGAGACCCCACAAAGTGTATATATTCCTGATAAACATCAAATTTTGAACAGATTTAAGCATGTCCGTCTGGTTGGCTATCCGTCCTCGCAATGTCTGCTGTAAATCTTCTCCTGGCCGTGAAAATGAATCTATCGACCTGAAATTCGACACAAGCATTGGAAGCTATTGCACGCAGGTTGGTGTTGAAAAAAGGCTAAATCGGTTAAAGAACAAGCCTGTAGGAACACGTAAATTGGGAACATATATGTTTTTCAAAAGGATTAAGAATTTGGTTTTTTATAGCATATAAATGTGCAAAAATTTCAACGCGTATGCTATGGACGATCTGTATAAAAATAAAAAAAATTGGCCACGTCTCCCCAATATTATACCGTCTAAAATTTAATTGTTTTTTCGATACTTCTTCAATGCGCAGAAACAAGTTTCAAAAACCCTATAAAGTATATAAATCCCTGGCCAATTTCAAACTTGGAGTGCACCTAAATTTTGTTCCTTTACTTCTTTTGTCTTTTTTAGGATAACGGTGATGAGTATAAAAGATTCGGTCCCGGTCGAATTTAATGTTCTTACTTGTTTCATTTTGGTTTGATATTTGCGGAAAAGTATTGATAGAGACGGCTTCCAACGTGCTTTACGTAGGAACGACTAGATATAGAAAAATTGGTTTTAACGGATTTGAGCTAGGATTGAAAGACTTTTTGAATTGATGATACCGCGAACACTCCCTATGTTGTATTGGAAGTAGACACTCGTATTTTAGATAAGAAAGGCTTCTTAGATAATTTTTTGAACTAGAAGACTTTTGATCAAAGCGAGAATTAGCAAAATAAGGAATTTCATCCCAAACTCTTTAATACGACTCTGAGTGAATATCGGACTGTTACCTTATTTTATTTCAAACACGATTCTTCTCATTTCAGGTGAACGCATGTCATTTATACAAGATATTTACAACAGACGATATTGGAGATGGACTATGAGAAAGTCTTGGGGGAACAGACTTCCTTTGGACAACAGCATTGTATTCTTTTTCGTTAAGACTTTGCTCACAATTTTCTTGTCATTTTTTAAGCAAAGCCTGTAAATAAATTCACTAACGAAGGGAAATTTTCATCGTGCGATTCGTTGTGGAGACAGTCAAAATAATTGAACGAGTTTTTCTCCCTCTCCTTTTCATATGTGATATTGTCCATTGCGATGATCTCACTACGGGCTAATTCATGCTCCCTTTGCGAAAATGCCTCGTATAATATATTATCATTATTCGAACCGCAACCGATACATTTGACTCGAACACAGTTTTCAATGCATTTAGGCGATTTGCACCAATTCAGGAGTCTGGCCTCTTTAGTCTGGCCTCTTAGAGTTTTGAAACGTGGTCGAATCTTCTACACTTAAAACATTGTTTTAAATTTTGAATGAAATTGAAATGAAATTGAACACAAATGAATTTGATGAATTTCGGGAAGGGCCTTTTTTTTAATTTATTTATTTAGTTTTATTTATTTAGTTTTATTTATTTATTTATTTATTTTAATTCTACTTATACATGAAACTCAACTAAACAAATAACAGTCGAGTTCAATTGGCACTTAAAGCAAAACTTATATTAAATTAATAATAAAACTTAGTATAAGTACAATATAATATATAAGAAGGAAAAAAAGAAAAAAAGCATGTAGATAGAGCATAGAGCCACACTTACAACCGGTACAGGACCAAATTGCAAATGAACCCCTAAGCCATCGCAAACATGCATAAGCCTGGCAACCGATAATACTTAACAACAATTCATTTTCCAATCGTAACGACTTTTAAGGATAAAAGCTAGTTTAAGTAAGACATAGGTAAATCGTGCGTATTAAGCAATGTTGCTTTAATGGACTTTAAAGAGTCCGATAACGAGAATAAGTGATAGACGTCATTTAGGTTCTTGCAAACTACTCTGAGCGGATTAAACAGCGCATAGTAATATTTACACTGACTAAGCTTAACCAAGATAAAGTGCCTAGAGAAGCGGTTGGGGACATTAAGGCTTATTTCACCAAGTAATAAAGGCGAGTCAATTGTACCATTTATTACTTTGATTACAAAGGAAACGCTAAGAACAAACCTACGTTTTCCTTAAAACTTAGTTGCATTTCAGTTTTTGTTTTTTGCATTTCTTCGCTGAAGTCTAATTGAGTTAAAGTCATTATTTTTTAAGAAAGAGTTGCCATTGCGGGCCGTGTTAAAAAGTAACTTGGCTCCGCCTTCCTTAAAGGTTTTAAGGTAATCGTGAAAGGAATAGTTAAATGACAGTTGCTCAAGTTGATTTCTGGATTTGAAATAACTTTGGTGCCCATTAGTTTTGCTATTGAGTCTCGTTGTATCATTAGGTAAGAGAATTGACACCTCACTCCCACTCCCACTCCCACTTTAAGTAACCGAAAGTTAATTCTTCGACATTCCCTAATTCCCTTTATACACTACACCACTTAGGGTACAGGATATATTAAGTTTGTGCCGATGTAACAAGCGTAAGGGCTTAAGACGGACCTATCTTTTTATGCCGATCGATTTAGAATCATAAACTTAATTTATCTAAGTCTGTCTGTCCGTTCGTCCGTCTGATGTCTGTCCATGTAAAATAAAATAAAATCACTTTTCCTCGAAGCCTTTCAAATTTTTGAAATTTATTTTATTTGATACGTTTTCCTAAAGCTTCAAAAATGTGGTTAAGCTCGAAAAATCGTCAAAATTAATTTGAAGTGTGTTTTCAGTTTTCAAATATGTTTATATCGATTTGCGGTTTTTGGCGGTTTATGAGAAAAGAGCATGTTTCTGGAGACTACTTCTGTGTACAAAACCCACCAAGTTTCGATAATGAATTTAAATTGAAGTACAGTTTATTTAAAGCGTAATATTTGCGTAAGAATGTGTGTTTGTATATTTTATATTTAAATCTATAACTATTTGTTCTATGGGCATGAGTTTCTTTTATTTCAGATTTTAATTCAGGCCCCGTCTATTTAAAAGTGATCATAGACATGTAAATGACTGCCTCTGTGCTTCTGCAAAAATTTAATTCAGGAACCCGCAAATTTTTACTCCCTTTCCCGCAAAAATTAGGCCAATGCTCCAACATAACCTCAAAGTAAATAGCCCAAATAGCCCGTTATACAGGGTGATTTGCGTAAGATTTGTGGAATAACATTTTCAGATAAAGCACACAAACCACATCCGCATTTGTACATGTAAAAGTCCTTTAGGAACGTCAGATGTGTTTTCACTATACCAAGGACGCAATAATCCTTATTTAATCAAATATGAGCTTCATCTCCGATATGTATAAGAAGTAACTGTGAATTCATTTCTTCCGTAATAAGATTTAACGATTTCCCTACGATGTACAACTATGTATGCATTACACAAATAATGGCAAAAACAGTGTATTTTACTTACATTTACTTTCGGAACCACAAAACGGATGATGATCCTATATATTTGTGTATCATTACAGTAGTTGCTTTGGATGTGTAAGTTGGGTAGGATGCACTTACCGCATTTTTGCTAATTCATCCTTTCATTGGAGCTATGATTTCGACTTCAAAAATTATAATTATAATACGATCAATCGTCACGGGTGACAGTGGGTTCTAATACGGTCGACATTATATGTAAAAGTAGCTTCCAATCTGCTTTGTCTCAATATCCTATTCTATTCGTGGAATTTTGAGAGGTAATGGTGGACTCTAACGTAACAATGGATAACTAAAAGATTTGACTCAAAAGGAAAATTGGAAAAAAAGTCAACTTTGGAAAAGAGGTGAGAAGTGAGGAAAAAATATGGAAAAATCTTTCTAGTATGGGCTATTCTCATAGGTAACATTGGATTCTAATAGGATTTGTATTCAAACATAAGGGTTGGACACCTTTTGAAGAACGATAGCTATCACCCATTGGATTTAACAGGCATATCTCTCTCTCTCTCTCTCTCTCTCTCTCTCTCGCTCTCTCTCTCTCTCTCTCTCTCTCTCTCTCTCTCTCTCTCTCTCTCTCTAATAATGATTTAGTTAATTATTTGAATCTCAACAACGGTATCCAAAAATGAGCTTTTTCGGGGTTAGTGTTAAAAGCCCCTTTGCTCTTTTAATCATGAATTTTATTTTGTCTGAGAGAAGAGTAGCGGCTAAAGATGGGGAATATTTGCTAAAAGATATTTGGCAGCATTTTTTAACACTAGATTTATCGCATCCGTCAATTCGACGGTTACGTGTTTTCAAGCTCAAAAATTCTGCATTAGGAAGTAGACATCTTTAGAAATCACGTATTGCTTTTTAATGATTTAATAATATATATATGTATTACCACCCTCTTTTTTGGGGACAGCCCATTTTGAACTTCTGGAAGTGGTATACCTGTTTTTATGGAAACCCGTCATTTTAATGGGTACATTTTGTGGATCATCTCACCAGCAAAAAAAAACACAGGTAACTAAAATTTGGTCTGATCGGTTATGAATACGTGAGTAAAAAAAATGTCATGATTTGTGTACGCGCAAGAGCAACGGTCTTCACCTTGAGCCGACAACTCCTCCTAATTGCGGGATTACTCTCCAAATCTGTTTCCTTTTGATTCGAATTGGTTTCGATCAATACGGTCACGTTTAGCAGATCACCACCAAGTTACGAAATTTTGAAGGTGTGCCAAAATGGTTTGATGATTATAACGCCCATAAACCATAGGTTCATAAGCTCCGGGTCCAAAAGAAGAGATGAACGGCCATAGATAGCGATCGTGTGTGTTCGGCTTTGTTAGAAAGTAATTGCTGAATAAAATATATATAAGAAATTTTATTTGTGCCCCTAACCTAATATCTCTGCATCCTAAAAATATTCTATTGATTTTCTAATACTTTTTATATTATATAATAAAATATATAATCATGTCGGCTAAGTGCTAGTTTGCGTTTAGTTGTGAAACATTGAAATCAAAAGCAACAAGTGTGCTTTCTGTTTGTAATGATTACCAATAATCCAAAGCTGTCACATAAAAGGTCTGCAGCAATCCATTCATAAAGTGCTTCTAAGCATTCGCCGACAATGAATAAAATAAAAATTATGAAAATGTGTCAACAGAAGAATAAGCCCAATAGACAACTAAGATTGAATTAAAACTTAACATTCAAGGATAGTAATATTATGGGATGTCAAGAGAGAGAAACAAAAAAAAAATATATATATATAAATGTATATACATATATGGTCGCATTTACGCATAAACTCGCACGCATTACTCACATTATATATGTACAATGTACTTTTTGTCGTCCTATGAGGAAAAAATTTCCTATGGCGTTCGCCATTTTGGTTCAATAACTTTGCCGAGGCACTTCAAATGATGTAATGTAATATAATGATAATCTATGTAAAATTGTATAGACGTAAAAAATCTGCTCAGTTAAAGGTATACATATACATATATGTACACATATATATGTACTTAATGTTTGCACTTATGTCATAGTTTTGCATTCGCTTCGTTTCTGATTTATTATTATTATTATTATTAATTTCGCCAGAGAAATAAATTCTAAGACTGAACTCTTAAAAGCACTAGCAATCTAAGGCTATCGGCTTTTATTAAAAACTTTACCGCACTTGAGATTCGAACCCACGACCATTGACTTGCTGCTAGTCGAGATTCCTCGCCTTCGGCTACTCCGTTTCTGATTTAAAAAGAGGTGAACTCATTAATTAATTAATTTATTCCTATGTCGCTCACTTTCTTATTGCGTAGATGGCATATTGTTTCATTCGTTTTAATGTATGCTGGTAAGGAGTCCCTAAAATATATAGATAGAGAATCATTCTCCAATCTCATATTGTTCATATTAAGATAGTTTGTTTTAATATGTGGTCTATAAATCACATGCTTCCTCCCATTTAAAATGTTGCGCGCATTAAACATTGATGTCAATGTATAATTCCAAAAAAGCCATAAGTTTTTCGGCTTAAGGTTATATAATATATTAGAACGCTTACTCTTTTATAGTTGCTCTGTTCATGAGAGGTTTCACTTGTGCACGTTTTTATCTTTACCAGTTAATATTTGTCAAAGTTTTATAATTGAAATATTATTAGGTCTATCAAAAAGTAAAGTGCGTAACGACAGAGCAATCAAAAGAATTCTCTTATTGTCAGACGATCGCAGGCTATGACTGCTTGATTATCTCACAAAAATTAATAATTTTGATTATCCCCTTCACTTTAAAAAACGTGAAGACAAAATCACAAAAGTAAAATTTATATAGTGCAGAATTTGCTTCGTCCGATGAAACAGTATCATGAAATATTAAATGGTTCAGGTCATGGTCAGGAAAAAAAAACATAACATGATTTTGGGCGATACAAGAATGAAAGTGCGTAAGTTAGTTGCGATCATTAGCATACCAACTAGATGGAGTTAAGTTTTATATTTTACTCGATCCAAACAAAGCTCTATGCAAGACGGTACTTACGCTCTATTCGGTTGGATTCTTTTCAACCAGTTATGTTACCATTTGTTGCACACCGGACTCACAGAAAGCACCGATAGAATGTGTTTTGCCAGGTAGAAAAGCATCAAAGTGGGCAAGGAAAGATTATGATTCATAGGTTTTTTTGAGATGCATATGCCGGAAACTATTAATCGATTACCTCCGGAAGGGCTCTGTGGAAACAAAGGAATAGTATAATCAAGGAGCAAAGAAAACGTTTGAGAAAGAAAAATCTTTTCCCTCATTGTGAAGCGCCAACTCAGAGAAATGACATGGTTCCGCAACCATCGTATTCTGTCTATCTATCTCTTTGGAAACGTTAAAAGATAACTTCATGTCTGTTAAGCTAAGAAATAGTTTGTTTTCTATTTTCTGATTACACTAAGACTAGTTGAAGATTTCTCCAATGGAATGCAGTTCCGTTCACTCAATTGGTGTATTTGATAAAGTTACTACCATCATCTTAAATTTGGATTAGGAATGAATTCCTCGTTATACCCTACACCACATGTGGTGCACGGTATATTAAGTTAGTGCCTATGTAACATGCATAAGGGCTTAAGATGGACCCACCTTTTTTATTATGCCGATCGATTTAGAATCATAATCTAAATTGATCTAAGCCTGTCTGTCCGTTCGTCCGTCTGGTGTCTGCCCATGTAAATTTGTGTTCAAGTTACATACAGGTAGCAATTTTTGAGATATTTTGATGAAGTTTGGTGTAGTGACGTGTGGTGACCCAAAGACGAACGCTATTAAATATGATTCGAATCGATCCAGTTTTTCGCCCACTCCCCCTATAAGGACCTATTCTGAAAAGATGTTATATGGAAAACACTTGTAATTTTCAAAATTTCTCAGCAAAAGTGGTTGAGTAGTAGTGCTTCGACATTCGAAATTGGTATAAAAACTTTGGACTGGCTAAGGCAATTTTTGAAATAGCCTCTCATATAATGAAAACTGACATAACTGTGCCAAATTTCGATTATTGCGGCCTATTTTTTCGGATCCTACCCTAATAACCCATAACCCATAACCCATAATATTATAGTAATTTCAAACAAAAATAAACTCTACAAAATTTGGACTATGTATGTCTATTTTTGGTTCCTGCCCTACGTATGGATTAAACTTGTACTACATTAGGTTGTATTTTGGGCCCGCTTCTCCATAAATACGCATACATGAGAAGTATGCTTTTATACAGAGACAAGATGTAATTTTTGTAAAAAAAAAGAATTGTCTTAGACAATGTGGAGTAGGGTATTTTATGGTCGGCCTTGCCCAATCATAACGTTCTCAATTGTTTTTATATTAAATTCCTTGTAATTATTAAAAAAACATATATTACATAATACAAATAAAAGATAGGGTTTTCATATACGAACTTTAGTTACTGAAAGTTCTTTTTATGATGCCCTATGAGAGGTTTTATGTTCACTGCCAGAGGTTCTTCTTTTTCCGTAACCCTGGTAAGTAGTATTCTAATTTAATTTAGAAAAAAATACAATTGCCTTTTCGGACCCATTGATGGGTGCGGGACAGACGGAAAATTCATAATGCAAAGCTGAAAATGTACGAGCTTTTGGTTGTAGTTTTTGAAAGTTAATCCGCGACCGTCAACTGAGATTATGTATGCTCCCTTCATGCTATGATTATGAGTCAACCATAACCACAGAGGGTAAAGCAAAACGGATGAGCATGACTAAATCGGTTCAGAGTTTTGTAATAATCAGAAGAGAAAAGAAAAAAAACATGTATTGACTTCATGAAATTTCTAATGCGAATGGAACGATAAATTTGTTGTAGCTCCATCTCTTAATGCTAAGTTAAAAAAAAAAAAAATGCTGAATCTGTTAAAGAATTTTACAAGTTCCACTAAATTTTAATGGATTATTAGAATTTTTAATATCGAATTGCTTTTAAACGGCATTAAAATAAAATTTTATATACAAATGCTGGATAAGCGTTCAATTCATTCCATATGTTCTATATATACAATTCGCATACAGTTTCAGTTAACTTTCTGCAAAAAAAAGAAAAAAAAAAAGGTTTTCTTCGCTACTTGAAGTTATTTATATTTATAGCAGTTCGATTCGACATACCAATAAGAAGAATATTTAGTAAACAATATTGCTTTAGATCCTGCACTAGCCCTGTAGCACAATACATAATTGAGCATATGGTGTATATGAAGTCTTTATAATCGAGTAAATGTATGCATGTATGTATGTTTATATATGTATGTATGTATGTATGTATGTAAGTATGTATATATGTACGTATGTAAGTATGTATGTATTCTTCCGCTCCTGTTTATTGTTGACACTTCGGGTTCGCTAAGAACTATTAGTCGGTAATTCGTTTTATAATATTCTTGTGGTTGTTATTCATTTTGAACGTATCCGTTCTATCTGTGCTTATGTATGCGCACATGTGCTAAGCATTGCGTATAAATAAATGATTTTGCAATCCGTTGCTGGCATTCACATTCAATCAACAAGTTAATACAGTTCGTCTAATAACTTAACATAAAACGAATGAATCAACAAGTTCACCAAGCATTTGTTGGAAAGCAATTAAAATTTGCGCGCTCTCTGATTGAATTACGGTTTTAAATTAATTTTAATATTTGTGAATAGCAACAACAACAACAACAATTACAGTTACAGTTATAGTTACAGTTACATTCTGCACGCAAGTAAATGTAATTTATTGAAATACATAATTCAAGTGTATTTGTATTTGTTCCAAAGAATTTAATGTGAATTTTTTTATCCTTTGATATTGAAAGAAAAGCTGCATAAAAATTTGTTTTTTTTAATTCTTCAACTTTACCCAGTTAGGTATCTAAAATTTTTAATGATAAATTCATATCATTTCTTAGATAATGTAGAAAATTCTCTATTGCATACACACGCATACACATAAAGTAGATTTAAATTTATTTAAAACAAAGTTTCTCTAGAAGTGGTAAGAAAGAAAAAAAACGAAAAAAAAACCCAATTGTCGAATGTGTGGTACAATAAGTTTTGAAATTTTCGACTATCTCTACTGTTTTTCCATAAAGAGCATGATTTCATATTGAGCTGACAACTTCCCTAATTCAGAATCTCGAAATCAAAATTATCACCGATTATATATAAATTGGAAAACATTCAAAATGATTGAAATCGTTTCTAGACGACTGTCCCAAAAAAGTTCAAAATTAATGAATTTTCAGATATAAACTCACTCTTCTGTTTCCTGTTAAATTCAATCAGTTGACGCCGTATGCTGTTTATTCAGTTAACTTCGAAATAATCTCTAAAAATGCACAGATATATATTTTTGCATGTATAGAGTGACGAAAAATGTAACCATCCAATTATCCAAATTTTACTTTTCCAACGTAGATGAGTATATCAGCGATTACTGTAAGTAAATAGGCTCTTAAAGCAGACTTTTGCGGCTTATCCTATAATAAAATATGAAATGACCGCATAGGGCATTTCGTGAAAGTTTGCTTACTACGTCTTCGACCAAGGGATATGCAATTTCTTTTAAATCAATGTTTATTGTTTATATAATTAGTGATCCAAAACTAGAAAGTGTTAGTGTTGATCAATCAATGAACATGATATGGGAGCAATGCGTTTACGCTCGTTGCAAATATTATTATTATATTTTTGAGATATGGATTAAGTTTTTTTTAGTATTTTTATGCCCATCACCGAAGAACGAGTGATGCGGTCATTCTGTGAAAACGCTTGCAGCACCCAGAAGGACGCATCAGAAAGTCCAGAAAGTCTACCTATCCTTTATCACCATGTTCGTTTGTTCATCTGTGCATTTGTCTGTCTGTCTGTCTGTGTAATGTCTGTTGTAAACGTTCGCTATCGCTGTCGATTTCAAATTTCGCAGAAATTCATGCACGTAGAACGGTATTCAAAATAGGCCAAATTGGCCGAAGCACACGTCCATAGCATTACGTAAACTGGCGATACTGTAGCATTTATGTACAAAAATGCAAAAAAGTTGACCACGCCTAACCAATATTATAGTGTATCAAGCTTCAATTGTTTTTTCAATACCTTTATAACGTGCAGAAACAAGCTTCAAAAACCCCATAAAGTATACAAATTCTTGGCCACTTTCAAACGTCTCTGTCTGTTCGCCTGTCCATCTGTCTGTTTGCGCAACTTTATAGTATTTGTGGTAAACATTCTCCCGTTAGCGAAAATGGAGATATTGCCAACATATTTGGAAAAGAATTCGGAATTGACTTAAACTTTTCAAAGTGCATACCTATAACGCCCAAAAGCTTGTAAGACAAGAAGTTTTGCTTTGAAAATAGAAGAAATCAACTGCGGCCTCTTCATACCATGTAGAGCATGAAAATTTTGTTCTTTTACTTCTTTTGTCTTTTCTAGGATAACGGCGATGGATGTAAGAGAATCAGTCCCGACCGAATTCCATTTTCTTACTTGTTTTTTAAATAAAACGCGTTTTCGCTCTTTACAAGTATCATTATTATATCTTTGAGATAGGGATTAAGTTTCGATAAAATATCATTTTCTTAATCAATTTAAATTTGTCTGTCCGTCTGTCCATTTATCCTTCTCATGTAGTCTCGTGTTCAAGTTGTAGGTTGCAATTTTTGAGTTATGTTTTGGCTCAATGACGAAGGCTATTGAGAACGCTTCGGATCGAGCTAACCTATAAAGCCCTACAGGCAGCGCAGTACGAAGTTGTGCTAACTAAACTTCCAAAGTTATTGCAGCTCATAATCACAAAAAATTTTGGCAGCAAAAAATTCCTTATGATTGTATTAGTACGTATGATGAATAGAACAATGAGATTTTGAAAATATAATATTTAATTATTTATTTTACAGTTATGTACGTATACCATTTTTATAGTGTACGATCGAATTCATAAAAACAAGTTTCATCGAAACAAAACCTGAAACACTCTTCTAAAGATTGTTGAAGGAGGCGCAATATTATTTGCAAATAGTGTTAGTGAGTGTTCGGAAGTTGTTTTGTAACAATAAAGTCATGCTATGCGATTGCGTACTCTTACCGAAGCCGTCTGTATGTCGTTTAACTCAAGAGTCGAATTGATTTCGCAGACATTTCATTAAGCTAAGCTTATCGCTAAAATATCAGGTCAGAAACATCACTTTCATACTGTAAGGTAGTAGTAGAAGGGCCACTTTGCCATGCCTTTGTTTCCCTAATGGATATATTAAATGTCGATCTGCCATGACTAATATATTCTCGGGCAATTTTATGCTCCTTTCTAGAATGAGAAGAGAAAATTTATGGAATAATATTTGTAAACGTTTGTGTTTAATTGCTTAGTAAGTAGATAACGACTTTGGTATATATATAGGGGTCTAACAATGAAACGTTTGCTTTTCATTTTGGCCATGTTTGCCATTAAGAACACAAAATTAGAAAAATTACAAAACTTTTCTTTCGTTGAAAGAACTTCGAGAATAACGATGTAATGTATCCCAGTGTATACCGGACCATCATGTAAAAGCCAAAAGTATTAAATGTAAAGAAATCTTTAATAAAATTTTAAGCGTCCAGTGATAACAGTAATTGTTACGAAAGTACTTAATTACTTCATGATTTTATTCAATTTTATGAAGTTATGTGTACGCATATGTATACGACACGTGTGTCATAATGTGGAAAATTTTATTTACATATCGATTTTATTTATTGCAATAATACAATATTTCTTAATAATTGCAAAAGAATACGAATCTCTTCGTTTCTTCCTATTCTTTCCTTCTACACTGCACGCGGGGCATTATGAATTTGACTCCTGAGTAACGCTAATGGCTTGCGCTTCCTAATAAGTATTGCTATTCGAAATCTGTTTTATTCACAAAATTGAACTCGCTATGAGTTGCTCGTCTCTGATTCTTCTTGCCCTTCGCTGTCATTGGAACTATAGGACTATTGCAAACTAAGTCTTTGATCTGAACCAACAACTTTTCTTAGTGATGCACTAATGTGACCAAAAAGTGATATGACTTTTCCGCGATCTTTTGCTTCGATTGACAGCAAATCTATGTGATGCACTAGAATATGTCTGACTAAAACAGCACAGGCAGATAAATAATGTAAAAAATGTAAATATATTATAGCTGTAGATGTGTTGTACAATTACCAATGACCACAACATATGATTTGCCAATTAAATGATATGTAAAGTAGTTAGTATAGGTTGCATACTGAGCGAATAGGTTTTCCATTCTATCTATGCCATCATATATCGTACCTAAGCTAGTGCTTAGTATTAAGCGTTATGTTGGGGGAAATTCGATTTTTCGGCTCACACGTTAATTTTTATATTTAATCTGAATTATTTCGATGATAGCTTTCCATCTATGCTTTTCATGCATTGCATGATTGACAAACATTTACTCATTTAAATTTTCACTTGAATGCTTACAGGCATCTTCATTATAGACTTATTGATATTCGCTTATAGGTATGCACGTATTTTTACATGAATTCGTTAGTTTCATTTTATTCCCTAAACATGTATGTATGTATGTATGTATGTACGTATGTATGTATGTAAGTGTGCTAACAGTTTTGTTCAAACTGAGCGAGCATATGCAAATATATTTGTTGTGTTTGTTAATCATTCGTGTCCAGAATACTCAATCCGGTTCCGTTGTACGCGTGCATATCCTATTTCATTCTTCGTTCGCAAACAGTGGAAAAAGTAAATAACAACAATCTAAACAATTAAAATACGTAGACTTGTCATAGGTGCGAATTTGGATACCCACAAAGGATATACTTATAGAAGTCCATTGCAGTAAGGCATGCTTTACGTTCTCTAAATATTTTTTTTATACTAACTTGTTTTTCCAATCCCGGCAATTTTGTAAAATGTTTAATTTTTTCGGGCGTGTTTTGTTTGCGAGTTCATTATCTTATATTTGATCTATGATATGGAAAATTGCGGGAACGTGAATAAAGGTGACTGAAAGCCAAAATGCATTATATCTCAAGGTGATGAAATCAATACATATAGATATATATTACTTTTTCTTAATGGTATGCATAGAAATTAATATATAGCTAAAAGTTATGGTTATCCGCATCTTATATATTATAAATATTTTTATATGATAAAATTTTTCACCATTAGAAAAACTCTACTTACTCTACTTACTCTACTTAAAATATCTTTTCGTATAAAAAGAATCATAAAAAATTTGCCATTCGAATCGTAACACAAGGAAAATTATTACAGAGCGGTAGAGCTAAGCAACACCCATCCCCCGCCCCCTCATAAATATATCTATCATAATATCAGGTAAATTTAATATTTATTTTTTCACATATATTATTTAAGGATATTGTGGATATGTTTAGAAATAATTAGTTTTGAAGAAATAATAATGAAATGTTCCTTAACTTTAAAGAGGTTTAATTTTCCTTAATATGATCGCAAAAGGGGAAGTCTTCGAAAAATTAATTAATTATTGCTAGAACATTATGGATGAAAGCGGTTTCATGTTGAATATCTTAAAGTATTGAAGAATTTTCTTGTTCGCGATAAGATTTGAGACTGATCATTATGTATGATCATTATGCTTTCCATCAACGAGATAAGATGGCAGTAAATGAAAATGAAGTCACCTTCGGGGGACCGAATCTTTTATACCCATCACTGTTACCCTAAAAAAAGACAAAAGATGAAAGTTCTTGTCTTATTGACAAGCTTGTGGGCGTTATAGGTATGTCTGCAAATTTGTTGGCAATATCTTCGGGAAAATGTTTACTACAAAGTAGCGTAAGCAGAAAGATGGACAGACGAACATGCGGACATGTTTAGATGCATTCAAGATGTGAAACTGGCCGAGGATTTGTATACTTTGCGGGGTTTTTGGACCTTGTTTTTGCGCGTTATGAGGATGTTGAAAAAACAATTTTGATACAAGTTTGATACATTATAGCATTGCGTAGGCGTGGTCAACTTTTTTGCATTTGCATGTACACAAATACTACAGCATCGTCTATAGAACATGCGTTTAAGTTTTTGTACATTTATTCGCTATAATTTACGAGCAATGAGCAGAAAAACAATTTTTTAGTCCTTCGGCCGATTTGGCCTATTTTGAATACCAACCTGCGTGCAAGAATTTCTAATGTTTCTGCGAAATTTGAACTCGATAGCTTCATTTCTATGGGCAGGAGAATGTTTACGACAAACATTATGTAGACGGGCGGACAGTAGATGGACTGACGGACATTCTTAAATCGATTTAGAATTTAATGCTGATCAAGAATATATGTATATACTTTGTGAACTGTCTGATGCTTCCTTCTGGACGTTGCAAACGTTTTGACAAAATAAATATACCATCCGTAATTCTTCTTCAGTGATGGGTGGGTATAGAAAGAAAAAATCTGCAATTCTTTTATGTCAGTTTCAGTGAGAACGCCAATAACAATCGACTTAAAATTTAGAATTGACAAATTTATGATTTTCATGGTACGAGATGATTATTGCTCAATACTATTGTGCACAAATTCGATATATTATATATATTATATTTTACGGTATATTTTTTATATATATATATATATATATATTAAAATACTATATATATATATATATCGTATATGTAGTATTTTAATTTTCATTTCCGTTTCCGTTTTTATACATCTTCTCATTCTGCGACTATCGCTTACTTTAACGCAAAAGAATCAAATCATTCTTATGCATCTTCAAATATTAAATATCAATAGATTTAATGATAGAGATGAACTTTGCATAAAGGTGTTCGCATTTTATATAGCAAAAGTTTTTATATAAGCGTTAATGGTACTTTTGAACGAGAGGATATGAAGAAAGGCAGAAAAATAAAATCTAAAAATAAAGAGTCTTGAAAAACGAAGATTTTAAAAATCCATAAATAAGATCATTTGATCACCTATATAGATATATATTTATATATGTCACAAATAATCATCAATACTGAATTAAGCAAATTATAAAAAAAAAAAAAAGAAGAAAATCGAATAATTTCTTTATCTATTTGGTCTTATGTATTTTGACAATTTGCTTATCTTAATAAAAATATAGCCAAATAAATGACTTTTCTATAATGATTTTTACCATTATTCAGAGGGCTTAACCTCTTTAGCCAGAATATAGTATCCGCTATGTATTACAGCTGAGGTCGTTACGTAATTATACGAAAAGAAACTTTCCAAAGGTTTTTTTTTTTTTGCATAGAAAAGAAGTCGCGGTAAATTATCGTTCGGATTCGTAGATCATAAATGAGGAGCGACTTTTACGCGACTCGATTTTATAATAAATATTGAGTAATTCCCTGCCTACTTCTTTTTTTTTGTTGTTGTTTTATCCATCAAAGGAACTACTTCGCATCTTCGGGGCGTGTAAGCTTGGAGATCGACGATCTTAGAGTTTATGCCTATACAGTTTGGACACATTATTCAGCTAATTTAAAATTATTACTGGTATAGAGTAAATACATGATAATGAAATTAGTTGCTCATCGAACTTCAGAAGATGTTCAATTTTTTCTAATTTTCTTTATATAAATTTCTATGATTTGCCGGCAGGACAGAATTTGTGGCAAGGGTTTAACGTGGGTTCCTGCCTGTAAGGCTTAACCCCACGGTGGCCCAAACCACTTTTTAAGCGTACTACGCCCCCTGGCGAGTTAGACAATCCCCACAGAGTAGGGGCCTAAACAGCACCAGAGTCCAGATCAGTTTATTGTGTATGGAACAATAAACCCCACTCTGGTGAGTGGCGAGGGCCTAGCTGCACTCGATTGTTCCACTTTTTGCCGGCAGGACAGCAGTATTTTGATATTATTTCATTATATCCCACACCACTTGTGGTACAGGGTATAGTAAGTTAGGGCGGACGACGTATGTAACACGCAGAAGGGACTAAAGTAAACCTGCCTTTTATTATACCGCCCGATTCAGAATCATAATCTGACCCTGATCTAAGCCTGTCTGTCCACCTGTCCGTCTCATGTCTGTCTATATAAAATTGTGTTCAAACTAAAGATCGCAATTTTTGAGATACTTTGATGAAATTTGGTTCAGTGACCCGAGGACGAACGCTATTGCAAATGGTTCGGATCGATACACTTTTTTGACCGCTTCCCATATAACGCCGTATTCTGGAAAATCTTTGTATGGAAAAAAATTGTAATTTTCAACATACGACATTGTAAATTGGTATGGAAATTTTCGATAGGCCTGGGCAATTTTGGAACACCTTCTCATATGATGAAAGCTAAGGTTCATATGACAAAAAGAAAAACTATATCATAATAGTAATTCAACATTAAAAAAGCAAACTGTACCAAATTTGGAACAATTCGGCCTATTTTTTGGATCCTCCCCTAGCAAGGACTTTCACGAAAATTTATCCTTTGTAGAGCATAAAAGTCTCAATTTTAATTAAAATTAGGTAATTAGTGACAAGATGTGGGAGGGGTTGTATATTTTTCGCTCACGGACTCTTCTAAGATCGTTTCAACCAAAACAAATGCCACGTACTTGCCCCTTATTGAATATGCGGGCAGACCGAACCTAGCGAAGGTGGATCTTGTGCCTTTCACTAGAGCCTTTCAATACCGACTCTGCCTGCCTGTTGGTCTCCCCTCAGATTCAAAAAGTTTGTAGGAGATCCTCATTCTTCGGTGCTAGGCATAAATATAACGCATTCTTCGGTCCTATCTTAGGTATTTATCTGTGGCATGTCCGGAGTTTATTTGCTGGTTGTTCTGTGCGAAATATCTGTATACCTGTCGGCCATCCCAGTGACGATTAAAATTAATGGGTTTGAGAAACTATATTTGTATAAAGCGGGTGCATTCTCGAATAGTTGTTATTCTATACAGTGCAGGCAAAAAGATTTATAGCGACATTCAAGATGAACGCGCTTCTGTTTTATTTATAAACGCAAATTCTACTCAAGTAAATTGGATTATCATCGTCATCGGTCACAAAATAAATTTTCGTCCCTTGCCCGTCGCGCTAATTTAGTGTACTAAAGGTCAAAGCGACACAACCGCGCAAAAATCAAACACATTGGTGCTAAGCGGGTGTAAAGTATTTGTTAAAGGGCAGCCATCAAAGTTTTTAGTTTCTCCTTAGCGAGATGATAGAGAGTCCCTTCCATAAACTTTTATGTTCCAGGTGATGTTTTTTTCTTTTAATGTTTTTCTCTTTTTTGCACCCATCACCGAAGTATGAGGGGCATATTCATTCTGTTTTAAATTGATTTAAGTATGTCCGTCCGTCTGTGTGTCTGTCCGGCTGTGTAACGTCTGTTGTAGTTTTTTTTCGTTCTTAAGCACTTAGATGTTGTACACAGTCTACTCACCTAAAAGCATACTATAATGTATGCTTTCGCTTTTTTATGACGGAAATTTTATCCACACAAATATTGACAATGAAGAGCACGTATTCAAATCTCTGCTAATTAACAACACCACTGTTATTATTGATAACAGGGAAACGCGAAGCCTTCGTGCTGAGACGTCTTGTCATTTAGTTATCCTTTTGGTTACAAAGTTTTCTTAAGTGTTCTTCTTATTAAGTTGTTTGTATTCATGCAGACGGACATTCCCTCTCTTCTACTCTAGCAATAAGCATTACCGTAGCAGCAACAGGAAAAACTATATAGAAAAACAGTTAGCGATTAGCGATTTTGAGCTATCATAAGGAGAGGGTTTATTGCCCGTACACTGGTATTGGACGGCAGACAGACTATGTCGTTGCAGACACTTTGCGACATAATAATGCAGAGTTAGTTAGTTACGACGCCCTCGGAATCCATTTGTTAAACTTCCTGAATAGAAAGAATAATGTTTCTCGTTCCTTTGATTGTCAATCATTTTCAACGCTATGCCCATAAATGATAAAATGATTCATTGTCAAGGGAAGTGAAAGATGAGATATATCTCGAGAGGATTTCAGACAAAGTTAAAGTTGCGATTATGTTTTTATCAAGTAAAAGATCGTATAAACATGATTAAAGCTATTCCTCTATGCGCAATAATCACGGATATGCATTTTGTCCTAATTACGTAAAATAATCGACATAGTTTATTAACTATCTATCATTTGTTATGTTTTAGATTGGAATTCAAAAAAGTACAGTACGCTCGGCTGCTATTTTCGGTTCTTACGGAGAAGATATAAAGAGAGGACATTATAAATAAATAATATGTCGTGGACTTTGCTGATTATTGTGCGAATTTTAATAGCAATAACTTTGATTAATAATAATTTCCCAATGGTGAAGTCTGCGGCAGTAATGGCAGAAATATCTACGGCTTATGACAATGAAAATGAAATGAATGATCAAGTACCGTTAGATGAAAAACGTGCTTGGAATTCGTTACGGAATATGTTTCGGGGAAATCGAATTCCACAGATAGATGAAAATCTTGGTTATGCTATTTTAAATGAAAAACGTTTATGGAAAAATTTCGAAGGTTCATGGGAAAAGCCCGGTCAATTGAATAGTGAAGAGAAGCTCTTATATTCTAGTGCTACTACTAATCCTGAGAGTAAATTGCAAACGGCTTATCTAACTAATGCGGCAATTTTAGATCAATTAGTCAGCGAATTAAATTCCAGCGAGGATGTAGATGATGCTAACAATATGTTGACTGAGAAACGTGCTTGGAAGGCTTTGAATGTAGCATGGGGTAAAAGACGCAATTCTCCGACTTGGAACAAATTTCGTGGCAAGTATTTACAATCATATTCTTGTCTCTTATTTTTGCGTATGTGCATGCAATAAAAATTCAAATGCGAAAAAAATATAACTTTGGGTGTTTTAGGTGCTTGGGGTAAACGTGAGCCCAACTGGAGCAATTTGAAAGGCATGTGGGGAAAACGGTCAAAAAATTGGCAGAAATTACAAGGAACTTGGGGCAAACGTACTTCACGATACCATGATGTGAATTAAATTTATTTACCTTTGCTTCGATGTAATTGTGATGAAAGTCAATTTTATTTTTTACTCTTCATGTATAAACTCACTAAATACTAAATCAATTAGATTGCAAAGTTCAGGTCAATTAAACTGATCTGGTTCCTATAAACGTTACTGATTTACTCATAAAATTCATTTATATATTTTATTAATTTATATTATATAAGCAACAAAATGCATATGTAGTTTTAAGTAAATCAAATAACATTAGTTAGCCAATTGTGTAACACTTAGAAGCAGTTCTCCCGTTTACATAAATCGGACAGCATTACATATATGTGTGTGTATGATGAATAGCGAAAACTTATCAATTTAATAAAATCTAAAATTTACTTTCGTACACACCGTACATATCCCTACATGGCTGTGAATATTGAATAAATATTGAATGGGGCTAAGAGAGCTAAGAGGGGCAGGATTGCGTATGCACGCAATGCAATCAATCCATTAAACATCTACAACATATATATATATATATATATATCGTGACGTTTTCTGTAAATAAACATCATAGCTTGTCCTGATGCAATACCAATACGCATCCAGCATCGATTCGGGATGGCCAGGCAGAGTTTTCCATTAGAGAAAAATGTGTACACCACTTGTGGTAAATGGGATATTATAACAATGCGGACGTATGTAGCACGCAGAAAGCCTTTTTTTATTATACCGATCGACTCAGAATCGTAATCTGAATTGATGTAAAACTGTATGTCCCTCTGCTTATGTAAATTTGTGTTCAAGCTACATACAGGTCGCAATTTTTGAGATATTTTGTTGAACTTTGGTACAGTGGCGTGTTTTGACCCAAGGACGAACGCTATTGAAAATGATTTGGATCGGTTCACTTTTTCGACCGTTCCCCCTATAACGCCTTATTCTGAAAAGTTGTTATATGAAAAAAAAATTACAATTTTCAAAATTTCTCAGGAAAAGTGATTAAGTGGTAGAATTTCGACATTCGAAATTGGTATAAAAACTTTGGATCGGCTGTGACAATTTTTGAACTCCCTGTCATATAATGAATACAATAAAAAGGTATAATTTTGAATGCTTCACAATGAAAATTATATCATAATAATAATTTAACATAAAAAAATGAACCGCACCAAATTTGGACCATCTCTACCAATTTTTTGGATCCTTCCCTAGCAAGAATTTTCATGAAAATTGATCGTTTGTAATTTCATACAAAAATGAACTCTACAAAATTTGGACCATCTATGCCTATTTTTGGATTCTACGCTATGTAACTTGCACTACATTAGGTTGCGTCTTGGGCCCGGCTCTCCGTGAATGCGCACATGAAAAATATGTCTTTATATGAAAACAAGACATAATTTTTGTGTTCTATAATAAGATTAAGAATTGTGTTAGGCAACGTGGTGTAAAGTATTCAAAGATCGGCGTTACCCAACTATAATGTTCTCACTTGTTTTTTTTTTTTCTGTCTGATGCAGGGAACGTCCGCTCGCATTGTCTACAAAGCAGCTCAATATATGATTTCATTTATATAACGTCGTCGTAACTGAGAGATTTGGAATTAAACATCCAATGTCGGTTTAAAAAACTTTCATCTTTATATATATGCGTCGAAGGCGAATCCATTTTTTTTTTTTATTTTTCTTTTGTTATAGCGTCAATTAATCTCTTGAAACTAAAGTTCCATCCAAACAGATTTAATTTATTTATCCATATAGCGAGAACGAGGACCGATCATCAAGGTTTTATACAGTATAGTGATTGTAAAGCGCTTTAATTCATTTTGCTAATTTTGAAGCGAACAACAAGTATGATAAGTGAATGCATTCATACTCGTCTCGTATTTTAGCGGAATTTTTTTCGCCCTATATATAAAAATTGGGTAAAGAGTTTGATAAAAACGATGCAGACCTATCACTGCTGTTAACTTGGCTTTACTTTCGCAAAACTTGCGAAACACAAATAAGTAAAGGTATTGTAAAGAAAATTTGGATTTTCTTATAAGTAAAAGAAAACTTGAATTTCAAACTAAATATGAATTTGCCAGGTTTTGCGAGGCAGTGCATCCCTAGGATGCGTTCTGCAACTTATCCAACATCGACTGAACCATCATTGTCGCTGATTCCCAGTTGTTTCGCGATAACAGCCAAGTTTGTCATGCATATGATGCATTTTAAACTCGAGAAATTTCTTTAAGGGCTTGCAAAACTTCTATCATTTCTTTCGCGCTTTCTCGAAGCAATTCAAATAGTCATCCACGTAGTGATCAGTTATACCTTTAGCTGCTCTCGGGTAGTTACCATAAAATTCCATCGCGTTTTTGTTTTTCTTACACTGGACTAGGGTTGGTGAACAAGTGGGTCCGAAGGTCGTTCTTTGCATGACGTATGACCACTGTTACGAGTGGCTGATTTATGTCCAGTCCAGACAATAGCACCTTGTTAAGGGCTCCTCAAATTTTTCTTATTGGCGTTCATTACTCCAAAGTATCCTAAATAAAATGTCTTTTCTTTTGTCTTCATTCGGTTATAACTCTTGCGTATCCTTGTTCTATGTATTCGTCAATTTTGGTAGAGTATTTTTTCGCAAATTCAGACATATTCAAGTCTCCCGAATGTTTTGTAGTACTTTCTATAATTTGCACAGCTCTTTGGTTATCATCAGACATTAATGAGTACACGGGAGTGTGAATTCCAAAAGTTTCCACACCGAAGCACCCTTTCATCAGCTTTTCCATTTCAGGGAATGATTCGGTTTCCACTCCTGATTTGCAGCCATGACAAGATAGGAATCGCTTAGCTATTTCACTAGTTTATATACAGTGCGACCCAATCGCATTTTTATCGCAATAAGTGCAAAAGGGGATAGTATTCTCGGTGTTTCGGTGACGACCGCCGATCGTAAAAAACAAATATCCGTAACGAAGATAACGTCATCTCTCTTTGTCAAATCTTTAATCTTACAAGATTTTCGCGTATGTTATGTATTTTTAATCACCTGAATCTGTTTATATATTACACCACTTGCCGTACAAGAAATTACTAAGATTGCGTGAATGTATGCAATACCCAGAATAACTTGAGATAGGTTAAACTTTTCATTATACTGATCGATTCGAAATCACTTTTTATATCGATTTGAGTATGTCTCTCCGTCTGCCGACTTTATTTTTTATCGTTCATCTACAGGTTGCAAATTTTTGAGATACTTTTACGAAATTCGATATGTATCGAATGGGCTTTGGCTCAAATATTTACGCTACTGAAAATGGTTCGAATGGGGCCAGTTTTTCGACAGCCTTAACTTGTAAAGTCGTTGTATGAATAATAATACCATGATGTAGAGTGTTTTATGGGCGGTCCGGGAACTCACTTAAACTTTTTTGTTATTGCTAATAAAGATTTGCTCTATTCAGCATAACGTTAGCTTCAATGATTTTTAATTTTGATCGTGTCTTTCGTATCATTCAGAAGTTCATGAATGTCGCTTAAATCATATTTACATTGAAACAATTATGTTTTACTTCTATATGCTTATTCCCAGCTCTTAAAATTGAGAATTAAATAAAATAATATTTGAAAACAAAAAACTAAAATTTGTATTTAATTAAAAAAAATTTCAATGGAATTTAAAAAAAAAAAGAAAAAAATAAAACAAAATCGCAATAGTGCAGAAAGTCATGCCTTTATATATAAAACACTGTCTTTATAGATAAGAAATGCTACCTTCAAGATAAAAGATACTGCCTAAATATAGATAAAAAAAAAAAGAAAAAAAAACACAACTGAGACTAATCTGACTTAGAAATGAATGGATGAGCTAACATTAAGTAAGAGAAACTCGATGTGACAAGACGTTTGTAAAAGAGCAGTACCGTACTATGTATTTATATATTTAAACAAAACAAAGCTAAAAAGAATAAGGTAACCTACAATGGTCAAACGAGAATCCAGTTTTTCAAGTACGCTTTCTGTGAAAATAACTAGAAAAGAGTTTAACCATTGTACACAAAAATCTTTTTTGGCGACATAAAAGAAATTTCAAGGTGTAAGAAAACTGAAAACACATTTCGGAAATAACAATCTAATGAATATTATTTATTGCTATTATAAAACAAAAAAACAAGGATATATCAGTTTAAAAAAAAGCAAAAGCAAAAGCAAAAGAAATCGCAACGTATTGAACGGACAACAAAATTCTGTGCAAATTCAAAGAACGCGAGCAAACGTATTCCTTCTCGCGACCGGTACTAACTGTAAAAGTTTTTTTTTTTTATTCTTTTTTATTTTTTGCATTTCTTCTTCACAACTAGAAGAAAGTGTCCAGTGAGTGCAGTTATGAGTGAAAAAACCGCTATTAATTTAGAAAGATTAACAAGTGACGACTAAAAAGGAAGAAGTGCTCAGATTTTTATGTGGAATGCTCAGCATTCAGCTTATAAAACAACACGCCTCCTTTTCCAACATAAAAAGTTGTGGTGATCTTAATTAGACATATGATTTTTGTACATGTACATCTCACAACTGTGGAGGAACTATATAAGGAGCCGTATAACCTGGATAAGCGTAAAATTTCGGGTTAATTAATCTAATCAGGTGCAATTATTCTAAGTATGCGTACGTATGTGTGCGTGTGTTTGCGTTAACATTGTGAAAACAAAAAACTTCCACAACAAACCCTAAATTTTTGACTCAGCTATTGAGTTGAACGTTACAAGCGAAATCGCTCGATAATTCGATAATTGGTATAAAATCTTTTCCTTTACTTTCCAAATCCAGGAAAATTGAACAATAAATGCATAAAGAACAAAAAAGTTCTTCTTCTTGCTTTTAACTTTTAAGCTTCATGCATAAGAGCAGCTTTGCAGATAGAAAAATAAGTAAGAACATTATAGTCGGGAAAGACCGGTCATTAAATACCCTGCACGACACGTATTACTTTAGTGCAATTAATTGTTCACTCGTTTTGGTAATAATAGGTTAAAAATGACACATTATTTTCATGAAAGCCCCAATATTGTAGTATGCTCAAAACATCGTATGACGTGACCCAAATTTATCAAACTTAATTTACTCACCAAAAATTTACATTATTTTTCAGATTCCGTTAAAGAAAATTAGAAATAGTATTTCTGTTCGTATCAAGCGTGGCTTTTCTTGATAATCCCTATACATGTTACGGTCTAAAAAATATAGGCCTATGTCATGCAAATTCCCTATCGTTAATTTCTGTGCTAAATGGCTACTGTGGACCTTTAAACCTTTTTCTAAACATCTTTCTTTTTATAAGAAATGTTATATGGAGTGCGATCCAAGAAATAAACCTACCTGGCTCCAATTTGGTCCCGTTAATTTTTATGGCCAAATTACTATCAAGGAATAAATTTTCATCATAAAACATTATCGATTAGGCCTTATTATCATATAAAGGACAACATTGCCTAAGAGTTCTTGCGGTGCGGTCGAGTTCAAAAAATCAACTTTCGTGATAAAAATTCAATGGATTTGATTTTTCTGTCAATTTACTATACGTTTTTACTACGTAAAGATTTAGTTTTCGTAGGAACGGTTATATGAGAGGAGACTCAAAAAATTTCCCCAACCGAACCAAATTTTTCATAACAATTTAAAATGATGAAATACTATTACACAACGCGTTTTGTAAACAAATTTTGAAAATTGCAACGGGAGCGGGTGAGAAAGTGAACCAATTCAAACCATTTTCTATAGGGTTCGTGCTTGGGTCACCTCACGTTAATGCATCAAATTTCATCAAAATATATCAAACCATGCGACCAACAGGTTAAGCACAAATATACATGGACAGGCATAATATAGGACAGACACGTTTTGGACCTGTATAATAAAAGATGGGTCTACTTGAAGCCCTTCTAGATGTTACACACGTCCGCACCTAACCAAAACCTAATGTAACCTGCACCACAAATAATGTAGAGTATAACTTAGCCGAACATACTCTTAATAATGAACCTCAAGTTAAACATTAAGAATAACTTTCATAAAGTAAAAGTAAAAGAAACAACGAACAGATCAGACTCACATACAAATAAACAAGAAAAAAAATGAAAAAAGAAAAGCATATATACTGCTAGCACAACGACGCACTCGCAACCGGTATAGACCCAAGCTAGGAGGGAACCACTAAACCGATGCAAACACGCAAAATCTTGGTAATCGATAATAGTCAACAGTTGTAGTTTAATTTACGAACCATACGAAGGAAGCTTTAAAGATAAAGAGTTAATTTAGATACAATTTAGGCAGGACGTGCCTATCCGACATTAAGATAATCTTATAGTTACCATTTAGATTTTTGTAGGGAGCCCGGAACGAATTTAACACCTCATATTTATGTCTATACTAACTAACATTTATGAGAAAATCAAATTTCTGAAAGAACAATTACCAACATTGAAATTAATCTCCACTAATAAGAACGGAGAGTCAAGAAAGCCAGAAACATCTATGGTCAGCCTTCGTTTCTCCAGTGAATATACGATTGAAAGTACCAATGCCCAGCTTACCCATGGAAATTTTTGATATATTTCGATGAAATTTGGTGCACTGAGGTGCTTTGACTCAAGGACGACCGCTATTGAAAAGGGTTCGCATTGGGCCACTCTTTCGATCTCACCCCATAAAATGATTTGTTATAAAAAGTCGTTATATACATTTATTCGTGGTAGTAATATGACATAAAAATTAAATGGACCAAATTGGAACCGCATGGGCCCATTTCTTGGATCGCTCTTCATGTAACATTTCTTATAAAAGGAAAGATGTTTAGAAACAGATTTAGAATTTTCCAGTAGCAATTTAGCGCAAAAATTAACGATGGGGAATTTTGATGAGATAGGCCTATATTTTAGACTCTAACATCTGTAGACATTATTATAAAACGCAAGCCCTTATATGGGGAGAAAGTCTAATTTTTAGTTTTCTAAGACGCTACCTGAAAAATAATGCAATTTTCGGAAAGTAAATAAAGTTTGCTAAATTTCGGGCTTTGATCAATAATGTGCAATTTTTCATCTATCATTACCGAAACGAGTGAATGACTGTACTAGACGAAGTGGTGTAGAGTATTGACCGACTATAACGTTCTTACTTGTTCTTATCCTAACTCGTACTATGTATTCTATATTTATTAATTTTTATACCCTACATCATTTGTAACATATTAAAATTGTGCAGATGTATACAACACCCAGAAGGACTTGGGCTACTTTCACTTTTTATTATACCAGTTTAAATTTGTCCGTCTGTCTGCCCATGTATTCTTATGTTCAATCTACAGCTCGCGATCTCTAAAGTATTTTGACGAAATTTATCATACAGACAGGTTTTGGCCCAAGGACAAACGCCATTAAAAATGGTATAGATAGTCTTTTTGACCACTTCCCATATAAGCCCTTATATTGAAAAGTGCTACACAAATCATTATATCAAGCAAACTGGTGTGGGATATTTAATGGTGGACCGTTATCCACTATACTTTTTTCACTTGTGTTAAGTTAACTATCACATATCTATCTGGCTTTATGAAAGATTAACAAAATATAATTTATAAACGTATAATTTGTAAATTCTATATTGTATTCTTGTTTCGCAATCCATTTGATGTAACTGTACAAGGCTCATAGATAATTTCGAGAGATCAAATTTGAAATCACCATCAACTGAAGTAAATCTACAAAACCAAGCAAGCAACTTGCAAATAACGATGAATAATGATTTGAAATCTAGAGCAGCGGATTTACTTATCAGGACTTTCTTTTTTATTAGCTCACTATTATTCTTAGGTCAAAAGTATTTGATAAATTTTTTTTTGTTTGGTTATTTCAAATGGAATGACTTTCCAGTACGTTTTAGTACTAAGTTTTGAAAAATTTTTTAAAATTGATAACTGCCAACGAATTCAGGATGAATCGCTTACAATATTGTGATTATCTTTATCTTGTTGTAAAAGCTCGGCTATATACAAGATATTGGAAAACTTTTGAAGTGAAAATGCTGCTTTTATATACAAGTATGAACTAAGCGTTTAATAGAATGAGTAAAATATATTTATCGGTCTACTACTTTACTACTACCTAACTGCTTTTTATTTTAGACCTCTTTGACTTATTTATTTATTTTGCTTATTTTTTTTGGTTGAACCAGTGCAAATGTCGTTATATAAAAAGTGCGTTTTGTTTAACTGCTTTTGAGTGTGCATGTGTGTTTTTCTGTCTGTCTGTGTATGTGTGTGTGTGTGTGTGTGTGTGTGTGTGTGTGTGCGTATACGTAACTTAAGAAAGAGAAGAAAAGAATTGCAAAAGCAATGTGGCACTCAATGCGGAATTTGGTGCAAATTTTGCAACAGTTATTTTTAATATTGTGTTTAATGTTATATTCGGCATACAATGCAAAATCTCAACATGTCAATCAACTTCCACATTTCATGGAAGGCGGAGATATGGCTCATTTCAGCTTAGCAGAAAATGTGGCTATCGGTAGTCCAGTGTATCAATTAAAAGGTTGGTATATATTTATATATATATATATGTATAACAACTTTTTAAGAGCTAATATTATCAAGATTGTTATTAAGCTCAGCAAACATTAAATGAATTAATTTTGCTCTTGTTGTACATATATAAAAATACGCACATAAAAATTTAGAGGAATTAAAATACAATTTCTAAGTTCATATATATCACATATACATACATATAGGGACTCATCAAGAAAAAAAAAAAGAAAGGAAAACAGAAAAGACACCAAACAAAAGATGCTCGCGAATGATTGTAAGTAAACACATTATATATACATATATATATATATGTACATATAAGACCTTCCAAATGGTAAGAAGCGAGCAAGTACCTGTTCGCAACTAACTGTAAGATGAACAAACAAGAAAAACCAATGACAAAGTCGGCTTGAAAATAAACTGTTCAGAAAATTATATTCAGCTATGGCCGCATCCTTTATACCCAGCATCTTTATTTTGATAAGAGAAAAACAAAAATAAAGAAATTTCGATGTTGATTGTTCCGGCCGATTTTTCCACTTTTACATAAATACTATGAGATTACTCGTGGAACATATATAATACAATATAATAATTGAAATTTTTATCGTTGTATCTGTTGTAATTTATGAGTAATGACCAGAAGAGCAAATTTCTTTTTGCTTTTTAAAGCACAGTTCGCACTGAAAGGTATAGAACGCGTTTTTTGATCGATTTCTTCCAGTCTCATGGCCAATTTGTCGGGGGAAGAACTTCCAATGTTTTTAGGCTTAAGACAATATTTCGTACACACATAGAGAGAAAAATAGACAGGCGAATGGCTTATAGGTAGATAGGCTTACTTTGATGCTGCTTTATATAGTACAGTAATAAACTAAAGCATATATATATACATACGTCTAAATATAAAACATCATTTATGCATTCCGTGATCTAGGTTTGAAATCAGTGAAATGTGAAATGAACACAAAACAAAACAAGACATGTATTATATATCAGTACGTTATGTACGCTTATAAATAATAAATAACAACAAAAAAACCTTTTGTGAAAATTCCAAAGAAGCAAGTATTTCCAGGAAAACTAATTACCTTATATTGATAAAATTGATTAAATACGTGCTAAGAAGCTTTCGGGTTCTTGAACAAGACTGTTATAAAATTTTTAAAAGTGCGCACAGTGATAGTACGCATTCTCGGCAAAAGTAAATAATTATTTAGAATAGAGCACATATTGTCTATTGATAGAAACTTGAATACAAATCATTCCATTCAGTCTGCCTAGAGTTTCTTTCTTTTTTTAAGATTTGTTGTAAGACTCATCTAAGCAACTCGCATCCAATAATTGCTAAAATTGTTTGTCTATGTTGTATGGATGGAAACTAAGTGAACCTAACCTATGTATTACACGAAGAAAACTGTATGTATATATATATATATAATTAACGCTAGTGATCATCATTGCCGTTATTCCAGATTATGTTTTTTGCCTTACGGCTGAGTGAAGCTTTTGAAAAATCGTTCGTAACACATTTGCAAATTTAAATAGTGTGTTCGACACAAACCTGAATTAATGGTTATGCCAAAAAAGAAAATTTAAAACAAGAAAGAATATTATGGTCGGGCAAAGCCGACAATGAAATACCTTGACACGCAAAAATTATATCTTATCTCTATATAAAGGCATTTTTTCATGCCCGAATTTATGGGGAAGCGGGCCCAAAACGCAACCTAATGTAGTACTGGTTTTATCCCGTACCTTATGCAGGATCCAAAAATGGGTGTAGAAGGCCAAATTTTACGGAGTTTATTTTTGCATGAACTTTTGTATAAACTATTACGGGTCAATTTGTTTTGCTTAGCTGACCTATACAGGAGCAATTTCCGTAAAAAATTCAAAAATTATCCCAGCCACTCCGTCCGTCCGGTTGATGTGTGTCGATGTAAATTTGTATTCTGGCTACAAGTCGAAATGTTTGAGATATTTTGATGAATTTTGGTACACTGACGTGTTTTGATCCAAGGACGAGCGCTATTGAAAATAATTCGGATTGGTCCACGTCTTCGACCACTCGCTCCAAATAACGATCTATTGTGAAAAGTCATCGTATAGAAAAAGATTGCAATTGCGTTCAAAATTTTCTCGGCAAAAGTGGCTAAGTAGTAGTGTTTTTTCGGCATTTTAAATTGATGTGAAAGCTTTGGATCGACTGGGGCAATTTTGGAACCCTCTCTCACGTAACGAAAGCTGAAGCTCTCGCATAAAAAAATTGATTGTACCAAATTTGAACCATCTCGGCCTATTGTTTGGATCCTACCCTAATAAGGATTTTCACGAAAATTGATCCATTGCAGAACAGAAAAGTCGAAATTTTAATATGTTGCAATGGAAATTAACTTATAGTAGTGATTTCATACAAAAATAAATTCCGCAAAATTTGGATCATCCACGCCTATTTTTGCATCCTGTCCTCCGACTTGACCGAATATTTTTACTTGTTTCATATTATATTTGTATGTTAGATTTTATGCTGCGCAATTTAATAATTATTGCCGAGCTTGCTATGTCTGGCCTACTGTGCATGTGTGTTTTTCCTGCAGAAATATGATGGAGCAAAGATGCACACATCATTTTGCTTCTTCGGGCATATATCGCAAATTTATATCTCATTTCTCGCTTTTTACACAACGTATTATTTTTATGCGTTATATTATTACTTGAGATCTAATCACAGTTAGTTAGTTAGAGTGATATAGATTATTTTCAAAGCTTTCCTTTTCAGTTTCTTTACTATCGAAAATTTCATATATTTTGCTTTAGGCGTGGATCCCAAGGGCACTGCTGTAAAATATAGTATATCTGGACCAGTGTTCTCGGTTGATCGTCATACTGGTGTGGTACGCTTACGTCAAGAATTGGATCGTGAAACTCAAGACACTATCGAAGTAATAATCAGCTTGACCGACGAAGGTCTCTATGGAAATGAACCCCACACAATCTCATTGAGACGTGAGATACCAGTACGCGATTATAATGACAACCAGCCAATATTTATGACGCGGCCATATTTGGCGAATATTTCTGAATTGTTGGAAGTAAATTCAGAATTGGACATAAAACCCTCCATAATTGTTGTGGATCACGATACCGATCGAAATGCGGAGGTTACTATTAAGTGTGTGCAAGTAAGTAGAAATTGCAACTAATATTGTCGGTAGAGAGTAAAGATTGGGAAGGAGCATGTGTTGAGATTCAGATAAGACGCAACGGTTATTCCAAGGTACGGCATATATTAACATATGGTGATTTGGGTGCCTACGTTTAGTTTTAATCGAAGTAGTTGTCATAGTTGACACATGACCACCTACTATGACTAGTGTATGTTACAAGCCCAAACAGGAGCTAACAAGCTTAAGTGCGAATGCATAACCTTTCTCTAAGAGCAAGGGATGTAGATGAAATCGCTTACCTACTCATTCCTTATAAACTCCTACTGTTTTTCAAATTATGGCTTAAAAGGCCGTTACCGGTATATGCACGAGAAGCGTTGATACTTCACTTTTTACAAATTATTTTCAGAATATATTGTTGTTTCCAATCTGAAAACTTTATTTCAGTTTATTGACACGATAAGAGGCAAACTTTATGAACGCTCATTGCGTATTGCTGAGTGATAGGTAGGAAAAAATGTTGAAAATTTATTAAGAATTTTGTTTTATTTGCAGGAGAACGATATTTGTGATACTTTTAATGTTACCGCCGAGGAGATTTCACCTGGTAACTACACAGCCCATGTATTTCTAAGGAAGCCCCTTGATTTTGAACGGCGCCCCAATTATATTATGACCATATCTGCTTCAGATGGCTCTCTAGAAAATCCTTTAACCTCATATGCTACCATTTCGATATCCTTGATAGACGTTCAAGATCAGTCACCTGTGTTTATCAATGCGCCATATTCCGCAACAATCGATGAAAATACTGCCCCAGGAACTAGCGTGTTAAACGTTGCTGCTATTGACGGAGACGTGGGAATTCCCCGCGATGTTATCTTATCTTTGGAAGATGAAGTATTTGGATATTTTACTTTAATACCCTTCGGAGACCCTATCGAGGGTACTGCCGTGTTGGCAACTACTAATATATCTTTGGATCGTGAAAATTCGCGTATTTTGCAAAACGCAGGCGTTTATGTTTTCTCAGTGCGGGCTACGGAATTAATTGACGGCTTCATGCCAGCAGACAGCTCTACCACTCAGATCACAATAGTTGTTAATGACATTGATGATCATGTTCCTACGTTTAACAGCAATAATCTTACCATATCTATACCAGAAAACCTGGGCATAGGAATGCCCCTACCTGGACTCGCAATTTTTATTAATGATTTAGATACGGGCAGTAACAGCCACTATGATTTAAAATTGCGAAATATTCGCAATTCTCTTAATGTATTCAGTGTAAGTCCTTTCGAAGGTCAAGGGAGAACACCCATCGTTGTAAAGGTGCTGAACTCAAGTCGTTTAGATTATGACGTTGCCGATTCAATGGACAGAATATTCTTGTTTGATATTATTGCTTCGGTGAGAGGCGAAGAGAAATCCAAAGTTCGAGTTAACGTTGAACTTACTGATCTCAATGACAATTCTCCAGTATTTGAATCCAGTAGTTATCGATTTTCCGTATCCGAAAATCTTCCCCCTAATTCCCGGATTGGTTCAATTACAGCCACGGAAAAGGATTCTGGTAAATTTGGTGATATAACTTATTGTCTTAAAGGCTTCGGTGCCGATCACTTTTACACAGATCCCAAATTGGGAGGGTTTTTCGTCAAAAAGACTTTGGACTACGAAACACAAAGTAGTTATAGTTTCTCCATTGTAGCAGCAGACGGAGGTGGCCGTGAAATGAATGCCCAAATTTACGTAGAAATTGACGATATAAACGACAACTATCCGCAATTTGAAAAATCAGAATATGTTCGTACTATAAGGGAGAATACCGCCATTTTTGAACCACAATTTATTATAAGAGCCATTGATGTAGATGGTCCTGCTCAAGGTGGTGGTAAAATTCGATATGGCATAATATCAGAAAATAGCATATCTGGCAATGTGTTTCACATTGATGAAGTATCTGGAGAAATTTCATTGCAAAAAATAGCACGTTCCAAGGATACGGAGAGAGGAGAATATGAGTTGGAGGTGGCAGCTACCGATTTTGGAATACCGCCGTTAACTAATATTACCAAAGTTTCAATACGTGTGGGTATTTCGGGTAACCAACGACCAGTGTTCAAAGGTCATTTTCAGAATGTTGAAAACGTACCAATTTTGGGCCCGCCTAGTTATCGAGTATCGATACCAGAAAACGCTCCCGCAGGTCATAATGTAACTGTAGTCAGAGCTCATGACCCAGATGGTTTGGATAGTTTACTCCGTTATCGTATTGTGGGAGCTAATGATAACTTTGAAATCGATGAAGCGTAAGCTATTTTCGCGTTTCTTTCCCTAATTTGTTGACAGGTGGAATATAAAATATAAATCTTTTTCTTTTATAGTATCGGCTTAATAAGGGTCTCCCCACAGGCTCGCATCGATCGTGAATCAAATATGGGCAGTTTTGAAATCATTGTTAACGCTGTGGACTCTGGTTTACCGATAGCTGAAACAGCTACCTCCACTGTTTATGTAAATATCAAAGATATCAACGATGAAAAACCAAAATTTGAACATCCTAGTTACGTGGCGTACATTTCGGAACGTACTGAATTTGGGGAAACTGTGATTAAAGTAAAGGCCATTGATAGCGATTTAAATTCCAAACTGTGTTACTCTATTAAAGATGATAATATCAAGGCAATTACCAAAACAGGGATTGGTTTGATCAATCGCACAAGTTATCGCGTTGAAGACGCCTTTCGAATAAACAACCAGAGTGGTATTATCTCGGTTAATGGAAAATTACGTCATGACTTAGCAGCAGTTATCGTGTTGCCTATTGAAGTAAGAGACTTAAACGCTGAAATAAATCTTGACTCCCAAATTGATACTACTGAGGTTACAATTTATGTGCAATCGTTCAAGGATACAAATCCTGTGTTCACCAATAAGGGCTGGGTTAGTTCGAAGGCTGTAATAAATATACATATTATGGAAGAAATGCCCATTGAAAGTACGCTCTTCGTATTACAAGCTGAAGACCCTATCACGAAGCTGCCTATAAAAAGTTTCCAGTTGATCGAACCACTTAAATTGGAATACTTTCATATTCACGAACGCAGTGGCGAAGTAATTTTACGTAAACGTTTGGATTATGAAACCCTTAGAGAGGATGAAGTTCAATGTATATTCCAAATCAAAGCCAATTCGCCAGATGGCCAGCGTAGCACTATTAGTAAGGTAAATATAACGATCGAGAATGTCAATGACAACGGCCCAATATTTGAAGAGCAATCTTATCGGGCAACGGTAGAGGAAAATAAGAAGCATCCTCTTAAGATAATACGTGTCCGAGCCACCGACAAGGATGCCACTCTAACTGAACGTGACGAACGTTTCGGTTATCATAAGATCATATATTCACTACATGGAGAACATTCGGGCTTATTTGAAATTAATTCTTCAACAGGTGAAATTATGATAGGATTAAATCAACTCATAGACCATGAACGGACTCCTCGTATATATTTGCAAGTAAAGGCTGAAGATTCGCCTGGAAAACCAATGGATTCTAAACACAGTTTTGTCGACCTTGAAATCGACGTATTGGATATAAACGATAATGTTCCACAGTTTGACCAAATCGAATACACGGCAGTAATACCTGAAAACGCGGACATTGAAACAAGCGTTATAAAAGTTTTTGCTACCGATCTGGATGAAGGTCCCAGTGGTGAGGTTTACTATAAAATTGCAGAAGAAGATGAGGTAGCTGATCTTTTCAAGATTAATAAATATACGGGCGAAATAAAAACCAAAAGTGAACTAACGGGTAAGGGACGCGCTGAACCCTATACCATACGCATTATAGCCCAAGACAATGGTGAACAAATCTCAAAGCAAATGGCTTTAAGCTCTGAAACTAGTGTTGCTATTTACATTGGAGATGTTAGTGCCAATGATGGCAAACCGTATTTCCTGAAGCCGAAAGATGGGCAAGTGGCCGACGTTAAAGAAGTAAGTGAATTGCATTAAAATTATAATATAATGTTATGTCCCCTTGTTTGGCATAGCATTAAATCGCTTCTTATTATCAACACATGTTAGACACGATTTAAATGTGCGAAGTGAACCGAAGTGAAGATAGCCCGCCAAGGTTTGCACTTTTGTTAAAAATGTCTATGTTGCTAAGTTACGGCTTATCGCGAAGTAAAAGCTAAGTCATTGCTAAGAAATCTCAGGCATAACAATAAAAGAATGCAATGTCCAAAATGAGTTGTAACCACTTTCAGAGACATTACCAGCTTCCAGACTTTAGATACGTTTTAAAAAATTTTAAATCCTATTAGAAAAGTCCTATTTCATTACTATGTGTAGGCCCTATCACTGCCAAAATCGCCTCAACTATGCCCTGCTCATATACATAAGATAATAAAATAATTATAGAAAATTTGAAAAAAGTCGAAATCCGTAGCAATTGCTGTGAATGAAACGGCAAATGCCCTTCTCTCTCGTACAATTGTTAGAATTTCATTAGCCAATTACCAATTGAACACGCGTCATTGAGAAGTCAGAGTAAATACAATACCTATATAGCGCGCATTACATACGCTAGCAAGTTTCGGTAGTAAAAGCAGAATTCAAAGAAAGTCAAAAAAAAAAAATCAAGTGATCGAAAACCCACTCACCATCTGAACACATATGATATATATTGTAAATTTAACAGACTGAAAATTACGGATTGAAGATTACAAATCAAATAAATCAATCAAATCACATTGGGCACTTTTCACAATGAATTTTGGATTTTTGATTTGTTCAATAGGAGGAGGAGAAGAAGACGATGAAGAAGAATTTTTTTCATTTTTCAAAATATGCCAGAAAGCCAAATATAATTAACGTGTTTATTAATTTTGTTTAGAATGCTCCTATTGGCACTGCAGTCTTTCAAGTTCAAGCTAGCGATCCAGATAATCCAAATACACCATCGGGTACTTTGCATTATAAAATATTAGATGATACACTCGATGCGGCCGCGTTTAAAATCGATGAAAACACTGGCCTAATAAGCACATCTCAAGTACTAGATCGCGAAACTAAAGATTTATATAACATAATCCTGGAAGTATATGATGATGGACAGCCGGGACAATCGTTGACGAAAGTTCTACAAATCAATATTTTGGATGTGAACGACCATCAGCCAGTCTTTTGCAGAGAACCAGTTAGTATACAACATAACTTGAAAGCACGGACTTCAGCACTGAAAAATTAAAAACATTTTTATATAATCTAGGACGAAGGACCTTTACAATTTCTTGTTCTCGAAGAAGAACATGGAGGAACAATTGTTGGAAATTTCGCAGCTATTGATATAGACATAGGAGAGAATGCTTTAATTGATTACGTAATAATTGAGGGAAATGATGAGAAAGTTTTTTCTATTGAGACGTCCGAAAATAATACCGCTACCTTAAAAACGACGAAACCGATAGATCGAGAGTTAGTTGAGAATTTTCAATTAACTGTTAAATGTCTACAACGGGGTGAAGCGATTGATTCGTTAATTGGCGATACGTACGACCGATACGATCGCTCTCATTTACGAATTCACGTAAGAGTGATTGACATTGATGACAATTTACCGCAATTCGAGCATAAGTATGCATCGGTGGGCGTACGCATCAATGTACCCATTGATACAATTATTACAAAAATTCGCGTCACCGATTTGGACGCGGAAGCTGAGCCCTTAATCTTAACTATCGAAAATCTTACTTTTGTTCCGCAATTTTACAAAAGAACGAAAACAATGCGAACCGCCGTATGGCAAACTTTATTCGTACTTGACAATCGAACAGGTGAACTTAAAACCGCCGGTTCATTCGCCGATTATGTGGACGGCTACTTTGAAATGAAAATACGTGCGAATAATTCACAAAATGTTAAACGACACACGTTCAGCACTTTCAATGTATTCATTATACGTGATAAATCGCTCCTGAAATTTGTATTTGCTCGTCCACCGAAAGAAATACGAAATATTGTGCGGCCTTTTCAAGAGAAGATGAGGGAAAAACTCACGCCTTTTAACTTGAACCTACACATTATGGATACGCAAGCGCTAACCAGATCCGATTACAGTTTAGACTTCACTGCAGCAAGTTCTTGTTTTCAAATGTTCAGAAATGGTTCCGCGATGTCACTTAATGAAATGAAACGACTAATGAACTCCGAACGTCTAAAGGAAGAGTTACTCGACGTTTATGTAGAATATGGAATAAGTGCAGTAGAACCATGTTCGACCAGAAAAATTCCAGCCATCGCTGGTATAATAGGCTTTCCAGGCATATGGCTTGTGGGTATTGCTGCTCTAATAGGGATGGCGGCTTTAATAACGGTTTGCACAGCTTGTTTCTTAAAAAGGAAGTAAGTTTGAAGCTTTGCATAATCTTAACTTTAAAAATTTGCCGTACATAACGGTATCCAATTTCAGATTTAAAGCGCATTCAAATCATAGCTTGCAAACTTCCTACGCACCTACAGAATCCTTTGGTGTGAGTGTACCTGCTGTTTATCTACCATATTCTGAACCTATGTACGGCCCCCTATAGCAACCAGTTATCTGGACTAGTGTTAATTAAATTAAGGTTACTTCTAAATCTAATTATATAAACTCTGTCTCTTCTTTCCTTACTGCCGGTAAAAGAATGTATTTTTTTTCTTTTTTTAAACTCGGATTATACAAATTATTAGCGAAAAAGACTGCGGATTTTGTTAACATCGTTCGAAAAATAGAATAAAGCTTACATGTAATATGCCTGTGATTTATGGTATTTTCTAATTTTAAAAACTAGAACATCTTTTTCTAGATAGATAACTAACTAATGATTCTATTCAATGATAATGAGGGTTTTCGTGAATAAAATCGATGTACAATTTAAACGTTACGCATAATTTGAGAAATATGATCGTTAATTGATTGGACTTGATAGTACGTATATGGCAGCTCTATGTTGTAAAAAAAGTATATGTATATATATATATATATACTTTTATATACATGTATACTTTTTATATATATATACTTTATATATATATATACTTTTATGCTTTACATATTATAGATACATCGGCTTATAACCATAAACGTAATCGATTGATACAGGTCATAATTGAGTATGCTTGCGATCCTAACCGCATACGTATCAAAGCAAGTCACTTACAACCGATCCATCCGAAAGTTAAATACAGACAAGATTCTTGCGGAATTGATACTTCCATAGTTTTCTTGTACTATATACATATTTATGGTAAGTATTATTATATGCGAATATATGCAATACTCAGAACGACTTTAGATGTTCGCGTCTGTTATTATTACAATTTGTTCGGAGTTTCAGTTTCTCACTCAACTTAAGTCTGTTTGTTTATATATAGCTCAAAATTTTCGATATAATTCAATGAATTTGCGAACGCTGGTATATTTGCTCTGAAGAACGAGCCCTACTGAAAATAGATTAATTCGGACCATTTGTACGGCTACTGTCGTTGTTATGTAGAAAAAAAGTTGGTATTTACAATATTTCCCGGCGATAGGAGCCAAGTTTTCGCACCGCTCCCCTATAAGGATTATTATGCAAAGTCAAGTTTTGCCTAACAGTGAGATCAAATTTTTTGGATGAAAATAGATTGAAAAATATTCATCTTTTCGATCCTTTATGGAAGTTCTCTCTCGGGAACAGTTTACAATAAAAAAAAAAAAATGAAACACAAAGTTGCATTTTCAGTATCTTACGACGAAAGTAGATGATGAACAACGAAATCTTTAACAAGAAAGTTTAATTTGGCAAGACCACCTCAGTTCATATTCTGGGTTTGACTTCACATGTAAAAACCTGATACTAGATCTAAAAGTATGTCTTGAATACCCGAAGAGTTCGATTAGACGAGATGGTGTCCGGTGATTTTAAATGGGGGCCTTGGCTAACTGAAATGCGAAATATTCGAAAATTGCCTCGACTTGTCTTTTATAAATAGAAAGATTTAAAATAAATATGAAATAGATATACACGTATACGTAGTGTACATTTACAGTTTTATCTTATGAAAAATATTTCGTTTTTTATTTTATATTTAATTAATTGATAAGCGTTTTCACCTGACATCAAGCAACGTGCTTGAAATTGGTTCAAATTTTCGATGGAGAAATTATGCCACAAAGTTGCATTTCTCCTTGTCAGCCTTTCCCAAACATCTCAAACGGTTAAATTAATGTTGCGCTTATCAATTCATCGATAATGTAACAAAAATTGAATCAAGACTATCCAAGTGAATGATTTAGGTAATAACAGATGGGGAAGAGGTGTTTATTATTATTATTATTATTATTTATTATTTTAATTTTAGACTAATGAATTGAATTCTTAGACTAAAAAAAGAGACATTGAGCACTAGCAATACAGGCTATCGGCTCTAATTTAAAAAAATGGATATTAGATAATCAGCTTAGTAGTATTAATAAAGTAAAATATTGAATTCATATTCTGTTCTGAAGCTGATTGTAGAATGTTCAAAGGGTTAATCGTTCCAAATGCAATACTTCTAGCCAAGGAAAAGTTGAAGAGGTGTTTAAAGTCTCCTAATTGTTGAAAATCGTCAGTGAGAAAATGATAAATTTTCAATTTTTCTTAAGACATCGGCATGAGCGGGATAATGAGCACTGTTATTCCTCTCATTGCTGCCTTGAAATTCTTAAGCGTTAAAGTTAAACGGATTCGATAAATTTGAGGTCGATGGAAGTCTGTGTTTTGAAAATATATTCAAGTGAACCGTAATAGGTGCTGCTTTTGGATTCGTGCTATTCGCGATAGCTAAGAACTGTTCTCGACTTATAGGACGGTAAGCAGGAAATCGTTTAAACCGTTTTATTGCGGTTGGATCACACACCAATGATTGCCGCTCTTGTTGGCGGTATTTTGACGTTTGATGTGGATAGACTGTGTGTTGCAAAGAGATTCTGGCTTGACTTATTTGATTTAGCATATCTTTAACCTGTGTTGGACGTTTACGCGAGCAAAAACTATTATAATAATCGTCAGCAGATATCGATACTGGCAGGGGTGTAGTAAGGTAACGTGTATGCGCGTTTTCTAAAAATGATATCGAGTTGAGTTTTATCGAAGGTTTAAAAGTATTTTCCTCCATGTTAGGAGCTGTCGAGCCTCTAACATTTCTTTGCATGGGCCATAAGGGAGATATGTCCAATTTAACTTTGAACGGCTCATGATTTATCAATTCAGGTGATCGTATGACATTTAATCCGTTGTAAGGTGAATAAAACGACGGATATAACACATTATTATATTTCGAAGGAGATGCGTACTGGGAAAATGTTAAATTATTAGCGCTAATTATTTTCTCGTTCCGAATGTCCTTTTTTAGCCTTTTATATATTGAATTTTGAGCCCTAAGGTTGTTGACGTGTTTTGGCTGTTGAAACGCCATAAAATTGATGTCATATGGTGACGCTGGCCTAAATAAGTGAAACTGATCCATTATTAAATCCTGATAACGCTGACCTTCTAAATTCACCGTGGGTGTGGGCAAAGCACTTTTACCGTGCAAATGGGCGTGAGCAGTGCTGTATTGTTGCCATAAGCCGCTAGGCTTTTGTCGTTTGCCACGTAAGAAATTAATGAAGCTACTCAACTTGAAGTTGTTGAATGATCCAGATATATGTAAAACTGTGGGTGTCGATATATGTGATGGGAGAATACGAATAAAAATAGGGTCATCACCACTAAACTCTCCAGTTTTACTTGCGTCGATGCCCATATCAGTCGCAGGCTTTTTAAACTCGGTAGGCAAAGATCCTTCCGAAGGAGTACGAAAAGGTTTGGGTATGTTATCATTACTAGAAGTTTCATCAGTTATCGCGTTTAATGTATTGTATTGACGGTGCACATCAACTGAATTTCGGTCAACGTTTAAAGGAAGGCGTCTTGTTAATAGATCACTTTGCACCAATTTTAGGGCAAACGGACGTCTATGTTTAGTTTTATAATAATTGTATGATTCTGGTGGCATATTGTAATCAAAATTAGTAGCAGAGCCTTTGGTGGCATTATCTGGAAGGACGAACAATGACTGACGATGATTGCTTGATATCGATTGCTGTTCTTGCTCTGCATCGATCGTTGGCGAAGCTATTAGTTTTGATGGATTTATTTTTGTGTGCCATGTACCGTAACCGGATCGATCGTGTGTGTTGCCATCATTACGTCCTAATAGGTAAGCGGCCGACATTGCTGGCCATTGGAGTTCCTCTTGCTGTTTGCTCAAAATTTGCTCTCCTACCCCACGGCGTAGTGGCTGATTCTTTGCTGACATATTTTGATTAGATCCTGTATAAAGGCTTCCATACCTCGTATCAATATTCGTATTAATGGAACGATTTAATATATCCAGCTTATCGTTACCGTTATTGTCGAATTGTTTTGTTTTATATATCATCAAAGTCATGACAGTAGAAGTAATGTTAACGTTAAATGCCGGAGTTTTATTCTCGCAAATTGCGATTGCCAAGACATTGAACAGTATTATTGACACCTGTTGTACAAAAGAAGAAAAACAAAACGAAAATGTAACAAGGAAAGTTGCAAGAATAATAATTTCTACAAGATAGGAAGGAGTTGATTCCTTCGAGTCCTTCAAATCGCATATCCTACTTAGTGGCTCTTCAAAGCTGAAAACGACACTCAGCAGGCACCATCCGTTTTATATATATATATATATGCTGCTGTGTTATGCTAAATTAAATAGTCTAAACTTGTGAAATAATCACTTATGAAAGAAGGGGATGAAAAATATTTATTCACTGATAACCGTGATTTCATCTCATAGCTCGAATTTGGGGATATTTGATTTTAACGCTCCCAAAGTATACAAAACTATTTGATGCCAAATATATTTTTTTGGATAAATTTTAAGGTCGTATCGTAACCCTGCTAGACGACGAAAAGGTAGAAAGGCAAAAAAATAAGCAATAGATCTCATTATTTTCAAGGACATTTCTCCGAGGAATGCTTTTATGCGTTATAAACATATACTCCTTCGGTGCCCATGGAAGCATAACGTTGACAATTACAACTCAGCAACTACTAAAAGAAATTTGCATGTCCTTGCACTATAGTAAGGCAGAAAAGTTTTTCATATTATATTCGAGGCCTTAATGATACCATTGGAATTGGGCATTTCTAGAATACTAAAGCTATTACTAATTGGAGAAGATATAATATACATACAGCTTTCAATCAAAATCAAAAACAAAGTATAGAATGGCGTTATGAAAAGATTTTACTTACAAACACAGCGGAAGCGCACAAGAAGCCATTTATATTGCACAGTATATCAACTTTAGTTAGAGAAGTACTTTGACATTTATATACTATTCGATATTTTAGATTCTTGAAAAACATTTTTTCCCAAAAGAACACAAAACGTCTTCTAGATAAATCTGATGTTATGAGAAGAATTTAAACAGTTGCGACGAATTGCAGCAAAATTTTATTTGAAAAGAGCAGCAAACATCCTCCGCTTCAGTGGAAATCGCAAAGCCAACTGAAAACTAGAAAAACTTTATGAGGATCCAAAGAAATTAATTTGAATGCGTATAAGAAAAACTCCGGTTGTTGTTTGAAAAATATAGCATCTGACATATAGATCAAATACATTGTATATGTGTATAATATTTAACCAAAGCCGACCGTTAAGTACTTTATACTCCTTCAACTAGATATATTTTTATTATAAAATACCGAAAAATTGGATCTTGTTGCATAAGAACTCTTATTTTTCGTCGAAGCCTTTATATGAGAGACCGAAAATTAAATCAATATTATCCAAAATTTAATTAGCAAACTACTATTCTGGACTAATTCTCATCATAGAATACTACTAAAAACTACTCTTACTACAGCAGTTCCACCTCATCCAAAGTTTTCACTTTCCCCTTATGCCAAAATAATGTTTTTAAACGATTTTAGTCCAAAATTATTAACAATGCAAAATTTTCAATCATGAAAAGTTCGTAACCTCACGTGTTGCAAAAAGGGAATAGACGCCAAAAATAACCGAATCCAATCGTTTTTCAATACAGTTTATGGTTATCTCAAAATATGTAGACGCACGAAATCCTCTTAAAACAGGTCACGGTGCATAACCTTAGTTTTTCAAAAAGGAAGTGGTTGCCAAAAATAATCGAGTCCAGTAGATTTTCGATATAGTTTGTGGTTCGAAATCCTTCTAAAAAAATTTGTGAGTTGACTATAGAGTTATATACGCGGGCAACAGATCCAAAAAGATTTAAAATAGCCGATTTGATCGATTTGTATAATAAAATAAAAGCCCATTATGTACTTCTTACTACGTACTATGGCAAACGGTGTAGAGTATAAAAGAGACCATAAAAGTTAAACATTCTTTGTTGACGATTTCTATTTTGCTTAATAGGAATAATTATATTGTTGCGTGAAGCATATGAAGCAAATATCACGCAAAACAAATGAAATCCCAATCAGATAATTAGTGCGAAACATCTCAAACGGCACGTTATTAATAAGTGGTCATGGAAATGGAAAACTAATGCACTACTCTGTAACGAGCAACTTACAGCTCTTGCCCTAAGAGCTTATCCTAATTTTATATGGACCCACATAACGTAGAAGTTGGTGACAGTTCATCATTCCTTTTAAGTCTTTAAAACTTAGACTTGGTAAAATTAGTTTCATTGGTATTTCATTGCTTGTCAATCGTTTTACGTCTTCTTCGAAAATTTAACTAAGGAGAATGAATGAGAAATCAGAGAAAACAATAACTTACAAGAGCTGAAATAACGGAAACAAACATTATTTCAAACATTAACCGCAATTGTTATTCAAGCACCTTACCACCGACCGTCCTTAATCTCCACTTTCGGAAGCCAAGCCCTATTGAAATGTCTTAATCGGATACTTTTACCCAAAAATCAGCATATAATAAATTACCAAAAATTTTCTTCAATTTACAAGAATTATGTTAATCATTTAATTAAATTTTTTACACAAAAAATCCACGATCAATGCGGGAGCATTTAAATACTTTCGCTACGTAAGAATACTTCCGCAAGTGTAATAAAACACTCAGATTTATATAAAATGAAGACTTGAAAATTTATGCAGAAGCTCTTCAGTATAATTTACAAACAAATCGATATTGTATCGAATCAGTCTCATATTATTTTTGCATTTTTTAGAGTTGTAGAAATATATTCCTGCAAACAACGTTGCGAAAACACCGTCGGCAGCACGGATTTGAAATAACGATCTTAAAGAAAGCCGTCGCTACTAATCCACAATATTAAGCAACTCTGCGACTTTGTTTAATTTTATTGTTAAGGTGGAGCATCGCACTATTACTTTTGTATTCATTTTTCTATCCTTTATTGCCCGAAATTTATTAATCAATCAAAATACTTATATTCCTCTTCTCAATACTTTACATAATTATTTCGCAGATGTATTTAAGTAACACACACAATTAACAAATATTTTACAATTTTTGTATTTTAATTCAAAAAAAAAAAACTATTTCATTAGACCATACATGAGTCTTTTTTATGTGTAGTTCTAAAAATTAATACACAATCTTGCAAAATCCCTAACATCTTCTTTTTCCTGACTTGTACTTATCATCATGTTTACTATGGACTTCTTTGCGCTTTCTCTTATTTAAAGGATTTCTGGGATCGTAAGCATCGTACCAGTCGTCTGCTTTAGTAGAGGCATCTTTGGCTAAAACCGGTGCGTCATCTTGAAACTTCAGCATATGTTTTAGCCAATCATCGCCTTGAATTTCTTTTTCCATCGCTGATTCATCAACTTTGTCAAGCTTAATGTCCTCTTCAGGGAATTGTTGCTTGAGTGAGTGTAATTTTGAACGAAATTTTGTTAGTAAATTCAAAGTGAAATCTTCTCTAATTTGGGAAAAGAAAAACGATAGATAAATTTAACTTTTTTTTAGTAATATTTCACTTACCGGCCAACGCCTTTGAGCGGCATGTTGGATTTTATAATTTCATATTTTTCCTTTTCTTTTATGAAATTCTTAATTAACTCATTATCTTCAACTTCTTTCTTAAAATTTCTTGCTTTCACTTCTTCAGTCAATTTTTTCTCTAAAATTCCATCTTTAACCTTTTTTTCAATTTGATACTGTTTTTTAAGTGAGAGAATCTCTTGACGAATTTCTTCTCTGTAAGAAAACATGAAGGTACAAATGTAAGGACGTATTTTGTTTTTCTTCCAGGTAACCTTACTTTTTTTTAGTGTTTTGCATTTTCACGTGCTCTTCACAAGTTAATAGGGAGTCGTTTTCCGAATCTGAGTTATTTTTTTTAACAATGCTATCGGATTTGTTTTTTGTAATTTTGGACTTGAGTTTCTCCTGTATACGGTGCTTTCTTTGCTGAACTTCAAGCTCATTTGACTGTTTAACGAAGCTTTCGTTGTGATCATAATCGGCTTCATTTTCTTCTGCATTTGAAATTACTCTGACTGGTTCTTTGCTAAGGTTAGGATCGTCAACTGCGTCATGCAAGGATTTGGCTTTACCGGCATTTTTCTGCATAAATTGATTGGTTTTTTCCTCATCCTCTTCGGCTTCCTCTCCAAATGATAATAAACCAAAATTCCTAAGAAAAAATTAGCTAACATTTAACTAAATTCATTTATGATTACTAACTTGATTCCTTTCTCCTTTTCGACTTTTCTTTTCTCTTTATTATTCGCTTTTTGAAATTTTCTCGGTTCGATATCGCAAAATGGATTTTTAAGGATTTCAGTTTTTAATATTTTATGAGCATACATAGGCCTTTCATTATGATCCGTCAGAGCTTCTTCTAGCTTAAGCATGTTAAATATTGTATCACCAGTAACTTTGCCAAATAAAGTGTTTTTGCTTTGTAGTTCTGGAGTTGGTGCCATAGTGAAGAAAAATTGTGAGCTATTATCATCTTTGTCTGAGTTTGCCATTCCAACCAAACCACGCCTAACATAACGCAGTCTTGAGTGGAATTCATCTTTAAATGGATGACCGTAGATAGATTCACCACCAGTACCATCACCATTAGGATCTCCACCTTGTACAATAAAACCTTTGACCACACGATGAAATATAGTATCGTTGTAATAACCTTCCATGCATAATTGAATGAAATTTCGACATGTCTTAGGACATTCACGAGACCATAGTTCAATATCAATGTCACCCACTGTTGTCTTTAAGAGAACCTGTTGAATTCAAAATTTAGACGGTATACAGCTTATTGGCAAAATGCTCACTTTTCCTGCTGTTGGAGGCTCTTGTATATATATATTACTCATTTTCCTCAAATCGACTTTTTTATTTTGATTAAAAGTACTAGATGGGTCAGAGTGGTTAATAGTAACTAAAATAACTATTTACGATAAATGTGAAAATAACAAACCGGTTGATGCTGTCATGAAACAGATCAAGAAATGAAATTAGTTAATAATTTGTAATAGCATGTCATATAAATTATTAAAATACATTTCATTATTATATACACAATAATTATAAATAAAAATAAACAATAATAATAAACTGAAGTAATTCTTAGTTATACAGTTCACAAACAAAATATACTTATGCTTGTAAAAAAAAGCGAAGTGTGTTAACCAAAAGATTATTGAAACATATGAAATAATCAGAACATTCTAAATTTCAAATATCTAGACACGAACAGGAGACTGAAAACAGGCTAGCAGATATACAAAAATGTCCATAAGCATAGTAAAGGAAAGTAATAAATCGAATCTTCTTAAAATTCTGATAACTATATCGGAGTGAAAAATGAAGTAATTTGTAAAGTGGCGAAGAAGACGCTAATTGATAATAGTTTCAAATAGACCCGAAAGGGATTAAGAGAATATCACTTTCGCAATGGAATACATCCAAGTGCATAAGCCACTCGTTTGTCCTAAACAATAAAGGATTTTCATCGACTTCAAACTGACCAAAGATGGCACAGTTCTGACTGTTCTTAAAAGCAATGTACTGACCCATAGAGAATAAACTATTACGATAATATCAGTTATCAGTGTTAAGATCTTGATTTGATTTATGAGCACGTAACCTAATAGAAAAATGATAGCAGACGGTAAAACGTCTATGAACAGATTACTTCCAGCCAATGGTAACATCTTAGCATCAAAGAAGGATTTTACATTCAGGTGTAACAGAATTAAAAGCAACTTACGGAAACTCTACCCAAGTTGGTGCACCCAATATCGGTTTATAAAAATTGAGAACAAAAAGTGTAATAAGATCTAACATCTTTTCAAGATATACGACCATCTTTCCTAATAATTAAAGTCGTGCACAATGGTACCACCGTATAGTTGAATAAATAGAAAACAATTTATTGCTCTTTAGCTGATCATGGCCTAGTTTGCTAGAATTGTAAAAATGTTTGAAAAATATCCTAAAGAAATTAGTTATAATGGGTATTTACAATATCTTATGGAGATCTTATTTATTTTCGCCAAAAGTTCTATGCTAAAATCTGTCCCTTTCGCTGCATTAGCAGAACGTAGAATCACACGCTTTGCACCTTACCATTTAAGAAATGAGGAAGAAGACGAAAAAAATGTTTATAGTTCCACAACTGAAATCATAATTAATTCCAAAATCTCCATTACTCACTTCTTACCAAAAACCACATATTTTGTTTGGAAATTAATTAAAAAAATTAAAAAACGTTTATTCTATTATCTACGTAATTAGAACTCAACAAATAGAACATTACGTGGTACCTTTGTCGCAGGGATTTATTTCATTGAGCAAGCCCTGCTAAATTTTATACACATTATATTTATCATTTTATTCTTAATAGAAGTAAATTCTATCTAGAAGTATTAAAAACTCTCTTGTGCCTTATACTAAAACGTAAAAAGCTAAACTAATAAGGTTACTGAAGGTTTTAATTCTTTTTTAATAATTCATAAAAAATTATATTTTTAATGATTTTATTATTTATAGTTGTGTTTAATAATCTGATAATTTCTTCTAATACGTGATACAAATATGACCTACTCACTCAGGCTGCCTATCATTACTTACCCTGCACGTTTTAGATATGGCGGCTTGCTTTCTAATTTTATGATTTCCACCCCAACCTTTACCGGATACATTAATACTATAATTCTGAATAACAATAAAGTTTCTTTGTAAGGGAAAAATTTCAAAAAGAAGTTCGGAATTCCTCCCTTATATAATATCACTTCTATGTTCCAGGCAATTTTTGTATTTTTGATAGTTCGGCTTTAAATTTGGCAATAGTCTCTCTGGCTACTTTCAATTTATCCTTTAAAATGTTTATTTCATTCTTGACTTTTTCCCTTACTTCAGTAATGTTTGATAAGGATTTCTCCTTCTTAAGTTCAACTACAAATAAATGAATTTTAATAATGATGATTAACTTTGTTATTTACATACTTACAATTCGTATTATGAGTATATACTTCGTTGGTTAGTGGCTGAACACTCACAAGAAAGTGTTGCATTAGTTGCGTCGGTTCTTGAAATACAATCTCCTCATAGGATTCCGATACTAGACCAGTTTTTGGATCCATTGGGGCTGTGGATAATTCCCCGCCTACTATTGGTGATTGAAATAGTTTTAGTATATGATAGCAAGTCACCGGTCTTTCTGTAGGGTCATGAAAATAGATTTTAATGACCACTTCAAATTCTCCCCAACCAGTTTCCGTAATTTCATATGGTGGTTTGGTTACGATGCGATTAGGATTTGCGTAACTCTCATGCAGTTTGAAATGAACCTTTTTTACATAAAGTGACATGTCTTCATTCTGATAGGGTTTCACATACACTTTCCATTGATGAGTATGACCATCTTCTTCGCGTTTTTTGCCAAAAGACTGTGCGATATTTCCATAAACTATAGGTTTGATAATCGTTAAGCCTTTTACGCGACCTCCTGAATCAGGACCAAAATCGGTAGGTATGTTTAAACTATTCATTATGGTAAATTAAAATGATTTGTTTTATGCCAAAAGTCTACAACAAAACTGTGATTGCATATAGCAGCTGTTACCAATTATAGGTATTACTGGGAAATGATACCCTCTACACAATAATCAGCGAAGATAACAACACGAAAAGAAACGCGATTTTAGATCTAAACAATTAGTGCATAGTTTCTAAAAAAAACTACGCGCCGCAGAGTATATGTAAAATCTATATATATATATTTTCAATTTTCTTTAATGGAATGGAATAATAGCAAATAACTTAAACTAACCGTTGGTTTTAAAATTTGCCGTATAGAATTTTTATAATGTTAGTGAGTTTGTATGTGTAAGTGTGTGGAATCAATCGGACCAACATCAGTTTCTTCCTGTTTATATTCTGGTTCATTCTGAAGACTTTCTCTCTTCTCTTCGGACTGCTTCGAAGATCGCTCCTCAAGAAAGATAGAAAGTTCGTACTTTTGGAGCTGCGACCGAAAGCCTATGTTGGCATCATAACGCCTCAGTGTCTACGGTATCCTTATAAGCTGTTGCGTAGGCGTATGTGAACTTTGCGTAAGCAACTTCAATAAAAGGTCGCGATATATTTAGTTCAACCTCGGAGAATTTTACATTTCTTTATTAAATCGTCCAGCAAATCGACTTCGTTAAATTTCTTGACCTCCTCATCTTTTTAAGCAATCTTCTGTGGCTGGAAACATCCCTCTTTGGGTGTGACATAGATTAATTTTTTTCGTTTTTCTTCAAAAATTAAATCAAATTTATTCCACGATATACATCACGCTCGTAAAAAAAATATATTTTCAAACTGTTCAAAATCCAACAATTGAATGAATTTTTCTTTTCAAAAACAAAAGACTAAGCTTGATAATTTAAAAAAGAAAGAAAAATCAATTTCTAATTAGGCTACCATATCACAGAATCAGCTATTATCAACTCGTTGAATAATTTATAAAAAAGGGATTACAATAAAACCAACAGTAAACCAAAAAAAAAAAAAAAAAATGATTTTAAGAACCGCGCAAAGAAGAAATGTGTTAAAATGTTTGTGTGAAATTAGAAAAACCATATGTTTTGTAAAAGTGAAATCAAGTTGGAAATATAGATCTGTGTCGTTTCTACCGACTCGTTTATCAGAATGCTAATAATAGCGCTGTTTTACTCAAGCTATATAGAGAGGTAAGATAAAGAATTTGGTAGGAGCGAAATAAATTTCATTTTAATTCAAAATAAAAGGCATGAAAGATTTTCTATGCTAAAAGAAAGAAGTAAATATAAATAAAGTGTACATATCAATAGCCTCAAATGAATGCGTGAACTTAACAACATATAAAGTCAATTTTGCACTTTACAACTTCAAATAGTTCTTTGTGAGCAGTCTATCCAGCTTTTTCGACTTTAACGGTTCTCTGCCTCTCATGCTATTATAAAAATTACTCACTGGTTCGATTAACTCTCGAAAATGCCTTGTTTTCTCGGTCGCCGTTGTATTCATTTTATATCGGATTTATTGAGTTGTGAACTTAGATTATCGTTTACAGATTTGCGTTCTTTTCGCTTACCTTAGCATGACCTGCGCAATCAAACTACCGAATGGGGGTATTAATTCGCCTGCTCTATTAAGGGAAAAACCCACTCTCAGCAAACAACAGTGTATATTTGCCAGTTTTGTTTGAATGAAAGGAACGTTAACAGAGTAGAGATATTCAAAGAAGTTATTATATATGTTTTTAAGTATTAAAAAAAATAATTTGTGAAAAATATTTGAATCTAAAATGAAAAAATGACTTCATCTAGAGACCAATAGTTAGAAAAACATTTTGTATGTTCCAGAAATATTGTTTTTTTTTTGTGATTGGGGAGTAATTGAATCAAAAAGTTCAATTATGGACCAGCAAAACATAATACAATCTTATGTTGAAAACTAATGTTTAAACCAACTTTTCAAAAGTATTTTACGGCTCGGGAGTGAAAAATGTTGCATTATTTTGGAAAAAAAAAACGGGTTTAAGATGTCTTACAGACGTGTTTTTCTTTTTTTGTTACAAAACTATAAAATTGGCCTACTATATTAAAATCCAACAAAATCATATCCTGTCGGAAATTTAGAAGATTATTCCATTGCAATCAATTGTTCCGCATCCATACCATACGTCAAAATGTTGTCTTTCATCAATAGAGCTAAAAAGCGATTTAGAAAATAATACTAAATCGATCGATGAGCAAGTTCTTCATAACTTTCCATACATTTGCAACAATCTTAATATACTTTTACTATTTGCAGGGTAGTGTATAAATGCATCGCAGTCCATAAATACAATGGAATAAATTCAAATCTTAGTAAAGATTATTCATCATGTATAACTGTAATTAATTGATTGTGTTAATCATATTGGCTTCAGTCTCCGAAGAATTTAATGTAAATTGAGTTTTTGTCGCGATATTTTAACCTTAACTGCCTTCTACTGACTCTATAACAATGCAAAGCTCATAAAGTGTTTTAAGCAAAAAAAAAAAAAAAAAAAAAAAAAAATGTTTATAAATAAAGTTTTATGATAATTTCAAAGTGGTTTTAATTTAATAATTAACTGCATGCAATGTGTTTGTTACATGAATTTTGTTGATGAAAAAGCATTGATATAGGGTATAAAATAAAAAGAGTAAATTTTTAAAATTTATACTCTTCAAAGAGTTGTAGAGGAAGAGTTAAAGCATTTTTTTAGAATTGCTAGAACAGCTAAACCGCACAGAGCAATATATTGCTGAGACAGTTTGCACAGTTTGCTAACATTATTAATGCTGATTGCACGTGAGTGACGGGAATATCTGAAAAAAAAAACAATTTTCTGTTTTATATATATTTCCACAAAAATATTAAACATAAATATATATACAAAAAGTGAAATATTTTTGAAGTATATTCAATATGACAGATCGCTTCGTTACTTTGGATATAGACAATGATGCATCCGGTCGTCGCAAAAGGAGTACGTCAAATAATGTTAGTCAGGTAATTTTTTTTTAACAGATAAGCATTGCGATCAATTGTGATTGAATATTTCAACTGTCGCCTGATTCTTTGTTGTCCGTCATTCAACAAATTAATAGTATTACAATAAAGGTTGTGAAGAATTTTCTCAACTATGGAACACATGAATGCTTCCGAAAGTAACGAAAATGAATTTTTAATTCTCATACTTTACACACAAACAATAAAATCTGATTGTGTTTAGGCCCTATCAGTCAATTGCTTGAAACTATTTCTGCATTCATCGTGTAGATGACCGTGTGAAATATTTCCACAAATTGTAACCGATAAATGTATAAATTAATTTTATTTATTATTAAATAAATATAATTTATTTTATTTTAAATCGTTTATTTATATAAAAAAATTTATTTATTTTTTTTATAAATTAAATTTATTTTATTTTATTTATTTGCACTTTATTGATTTGGAAAATAATTTCCCATGACAAACCTTTGTCTAAAGAAATTTAATCTTAACTATATACTAAGGTAGATTATAGTTTAAGCCTGATCAGTGGCCATCAATTCAGAGTATATATATATGAAGATATATATATATGCCCTGTGCTGCAAGCTTCTATATCAATATTTAAGATCGGAAGCATTCCAATAGACAAACAATAGATAGGCGCATACGGCAGTTATGAATTTAGAATCTAACACAGGCCCTTTACGGGATCTCTAATGAATCGCTTTAAAATTTTGAAAAATTGAAACTTCTATAAAATGATTTTTAAATCGCTTATAATTTATTCATTAATCGTGAAGTGCAAATTAGTTCAAGATATAAATAATATGGACTATCGTCTAGTTAATATGTGCTCAAGTGAATAAAAATATCTGCAACCAAAAACAAAAGAAACAACAAGTATTAACATTATAGTCGGGCAAGGTCAATTATTAGACACTCTACATTATTTCGCCTAATATAGAGTTATTCACTCGTTTTACTTATAAGACGCCAAAAGTTACACATTATTTTCATAAAAGGCCATACTTTCCATGAAAGCCCGCACTTTGAAGGAATCCTTATATGCAGTGGTGTTCCGGAAAATAGATCTACGTCGATTTGTATGTAGTTTTCACAATAAAATATTAAATGTTGTAACTTTTTACTATATATAAAATTAAATTTTTGTACGAGCGGTCATATAAGGGAGTGTTAAAAATATTGCCAAAGTCGTAGCAAATTTTTTTGAAAACTTTTGAAAATTGCAATTTTTTTCCTTATAAAGACTTTTCAAAATAAGGCGTTATATAAGGAGCCATCGAAAAAGTAGACCGATCCGAACCATTTCCAACAGCGTTCGTTTTTGGATCAAAACACGTCAGCGTACATAATTTCAAATCAAAATATCGCAAAAATTGCGACCTACAGCTTGAACACAAGCATACATGGAGCGATATTTCAGAACAAGGGCATGGGCAAACATCAGACGGACAGACAAGCTTACAATACCGAAGATGATTCTGAATCGATCGGTACAATAAAAGCTGGGCACACTTTAAGCCCTTCTGTTCCGTGTGCCACGCAAACTTAATGTACCTTGTACTACAAGTGGTGTAGGGTACAAAAATAAAAAATTATTCAAGCAAACTTTTGTTATATTGTAATTTCACTTTTTGCTTAGGTAACAACTTTAAGATCTTATGAATATTGAACAGTGGAAAAAATTTCAAATTAAGAGACATATATATATATATATATTAATGACTTCCTGTATGTAAAGGATGTTGTTGTCATTCTAAACTATAATGCAGCCATTGCTAGATCGTACTGCATAATCAAGTTCGTTTGACTGAGTTGAGATTAAAATCATTTTATATAAAAAGCTAAGGCAGAGAATACGCTCAACCTCCATTAATTATTTTTTTTCAACTTTGTTCATTCTATATAGTGAGATAGATGAACCATCGCTTAGAATTTCATAGAAATGGAGAATAGAAGATAAGAAATGACGGCGATCAACATCACTTAACATATATGTCAAAAATGGGAGAAATATTGATCTTGACAAGTTATTTCGATTGCGTCTATTTATTAAATGTAGTCGAAAGCACGTATTCAAGGTCAGCATTCGTTTAATGCAAATTTATGCAAGGCCTGTGTAACAAGTGATGAGAACATAATCCTTAACCGCGCATTTCATTTATCGCATTAAATTCAAAAGCTGTTCATTACTTATAGGAATACACCCTAAGTAAATGACTAACGCAAATAGCGAATGTAATTTAGTCGTGTGTTTGTCCGTCTTCTCAGTATTCAGTTAGATCGATCTGAAAACTTAGGTGAATAGCGACGTGTAAACGCTTGAGTTCCATCACATCAAAGAATAAATCGTCAAACTTTGCTTTAATTGAGCTGCTGATGTTTTGAACATAGGTAGCCATAAAAGCTTAAAAACATTTATATTTTTGAAAATTTTCAAAATAAGGCGAATTCGAACCATTCTCAATAGCGTTCGTCCCCGTTTGGGTCAAGTTTCATCACAATATCTCAAAAATTGTGACCTATCGCTTGAATACGAAATTACGAAATTTTTTATATTTTTAAATATGTTTAAAATATGTCTTTCTTTAGCCATAGGTATAGAGACTGGATTATTGTTTATTTATTTATTTTTTTTTTTTTTTTGAGAATCAATTTTGGGCTAACTATGCAGCTGGCCGGAGAGCTGCCTGGATTAAAGGTATCTTACGAGAGAGGGAGAGGGTTTGGAGGATACATTTACAAAACTATCCATAACTTTTATACTTTACACCACTTGTGGGACAGGGTATATTAACATAGTGTGTAGCATGCAGAAGGACTTAAGATAAACTCATCGATCGATTCGGAATCATAATCTCAACCTGTCCGTACGTCTGTCCATTTGTGTTCAAGCTACAGGTTGTAATTTTTGGGATATTTTCATACGACTTTCTTAAAATGTCGATTGTTTTTAAAGGGATCTCCTACCCGATTTTATCGTTAACATGACTTTTATATTTCCCGGGAGGAGAGTCTTCGACATACCCTCTAATGTATCCAAATTTTGTTTTGAAAAAATAGGTCTTTTTATGCTTGGCCTCGTTGCTGCTTGGCTTGGCCGCTGCATTTATTTTTGAGATAACATCCAATGCCTAATGTTTCCATTGCCTGACAGCATCCAAAACAGAGCAGTAACTTTCACCAAGTATTATAAATGTTTTCTTACTCATTCTATTTATTGTTGTAATAAAATCTAAACATCGATGCACCTTTTGGTTTGATTTCTTGACCACCGTCGAACGTTTATCTCTTTAATTATCTCCATAGGTAATGAAATGCAGATCCACAAATATTTAATTTCACATTTATACTATTATTCTCATTTCGGAGAGCTAATATAATATACCGATGCATGGGTTATTCATGCTTTCCCTGTAATTACATTTACAAAAAAAAAAAAACAAACAAAGTATCATTTTTAAGATTAAATGATTCATTCCCCGGCCCATCAAACGTATTTACCATAAGTTTCGCATTGTTTGGGTTTATGAACTTTATGGCGTTACTCACAAAAAGAAAAAAAAACAAGAAAAAGAACCAAAAAAAAAACGAATTAGTTTTTTTATTATTTTCAGTGTTCTTTTTTTTCAATTCTCACTATCAGTTTTAATTCTCCCTGGCTTGACCTTCAGATGTTTCTATCGCTTTTCCAGAATTGATTTGACATTCATTTCCCAATAATTTCTCTTACACGCGTTTATTACTAATTCCAGGCTCTTCCGCTCTTTCCCCGCGAACTAAGTTGTGCCTGTTGCTGCTAAGTGATTTTTTTGGTGTCAACCAAAACATTACCAAATAAATAGCGTTCTTGTTGATTTCTGGGAAAGAAAAAAATATCTCACATATATATTGCACGCTTCTAAGAGAGTGTCAATAAAAGGTTCAAATGTCTGGGAAAGTTTTCAGCTTTTCTGCTCATTCCAATCCAGAAAATATTTCTTTTTTTCGTATCCATGTTCTCGCTTCTTTAGCTGGCGTTTTCGTTAAATTTTTTTCTTTTTATAACCTGCACGATTTATGGCCCAAGGTATATTAAGTTAGTGCGGTCGGTATGTAACACGCAGAACGCCTTCAGATAGACTCAAGTTTTATTATACCGATCGATTCAGAATCAGAATTTGAATTGATCTAAGGCAGTCTGTCCGTCTGGCCGTCTGATGTCTGTCCACGTAAATTTGTATTCAACTCCAAGTCGCAATTTTTGAGATATTTTGATGAAAATTGGTTCAGTGACAGAGTAAGGACGTACACTATAGAAAATGGTCCGGATTGGGCCACTTTTTCAACCACTCCCCATATAGCTCCCTATTATGAAAAGTCGTTAAATAGGAAAAAATTTGCAATTTTCGAAATTTCTCACCAAAAGTGGCCAAGTAGTAGTATTTGGGCATTCTAAACTGAACAAGCTGGAACAATTTTTGAACCCCTTCGTACAACGAAAATTGATGTTCATACGACAAACAGGTAAAAATGTATATCATAATAGTAATTTAATATACAAAAATTAATTGTACAGAATTTGGATCATCTCGGCCTATTTTTTGGATCATACCGTAATCGGGATTATCAGGAAAATTTATCTTTTGTAGAGCAGATGAAAATTGATCCATAATAGTCATTTCATTTTAAATAAGAATTATGTTACACAATGTAATGTAGGGTATTTAATGGTCGGTCTTGCCCGACTATGATGTTCTTACTCGTTTATTTCATTCTTATTAACAATTTTGGGCCAGGTGCGCATTGTGGTGTTACCTCGTCGGCCTTCACTTTATTAATGCTTTCTTTGCTTAATTGCGTGTAATGTATATGTATGTACATAGTTTAGTGTGCAAAGTTAACAAATATATTAGTTCCCATATTATCGCGTCGCTCTTTAGGGGTTTTATGTGGATGTCCATTGATATAAGCTCCACTCGACAAAGTCCCCTGCACGATGGATATTTTGGGCGTGAGTGAAACAATTCCTATAATGGGCTGAAATGTCGAGGCCTTTATGGGGCATAAACACTTTGTACTTCTGCGTTTTTCGATTTACCACACTCGACATGAAACTCCTCGAAGGGCCACCTCGAGCAGCCAATATGAAGCCTTTTCTTTTGAATTAGACAACTTACAGATTACACTAGCTTTAGAGGGATTCCATACAATTCGCAAAGCCATGCAAACTACCCCATCCCATAGATTTGCGGAAATGTGGAAACACATTGAGCCAACTTTATCGCGATATCAGAATTAAATACTTCTCGGTTTCATAAAAACCAGTGCCCGTCTAACACAGATTTTATATGACCTTCATAGCAAGAAATTGTTCAGAAAAACAAATTTTTCTAAGTTCTTTCAGTCTTCTTAGCCGCTAAATCATAAAGGATTTAAAACTTATAGAGGGACAATGAAGAGGTGAGGCTTCCTTCGCCGTCTGTAGGGATCGTGGGTTTCTTCTCCCCCTTTTTTTTGTACTGCAAGCGCCTATTTTAGTTTTACATGGTTGTCTGAATTGATGATTTCAACTGGTGATTTCAAGGTGGTAATTAATAAAAGATATGAAATAGAAGCGAGAACTGATGCTCCCAAGCAGTAAGATAACCCCCACCAATAGAGGTCGCTACTATCACTAACGTTCCAGAATGAGAAGACGGCTGCTATTCACATTCTTACAGGCTCATCTGGGTCAAGGTCTACCCAACACCTCATTATTTAATGTCCCCACGAAAAATCGGGTTAATCATTCCCACATTTGATACTTTCCAAAGGGTCGCATTCAACAGGTAAACTAGAAACATTATTACAGTGCATCACATCAGATACATTTATCTTAAAATTGCAAAAAAATCGGGAAATGAGCAAACGAGATGAAACGGAGGCCGTTGTCTTCGCTGATTGTTTAGTTGATATGCATAGATCTTGCACGCAACTAAGTTCTTAATTTTATTTTTTTCAACACCAACACAAACGTCCTCCCGATTAACTTTCAGTTCCGCGGAAAATGTGTTGGACGAGTTGCTAACGATTTTTGCCTTAATCTCCGAAAAAGTAAATGTAAAGAAAAATAATTCACATCATAAGCATTCTACTTAACGCCTTGAAAATGAGCCTGCTTCTTAAATGAAGAGTTCTAGAGATTATGTTAAAATGCCTTGTGGAAAAATTCTTTGAACTGCGCAATTTGTTCCACAAGCCACATTTAAACGTTTATATTCAGTTGATATTCTGTCTGCGCTATTTTGTGGACGTGAAATTGTCTCAACATGTCGTTGGGAATCTAAAAAGAATGCGGCTTAGAATCTTTTAACAATTTGCTCATACATAACATATCCATGACCTGAAACGATATTTTCTTATTTATATATATGTTCAGGGTAAAGACTTGTTTAATTGATCGCATTGTTTAATTAACCGTTTAAAGTGTATTAAATAAAGTAAAAGTATAAAACAAAATAAATACGTGCGCTTGAATTATTATTGTTATGTCTGCCTAGGATGCGTTACATATCACAAAAAGTTAATTACAAAAAATAATAATTGTCTTATAAATATTGCGCTACTTTGACGCTGCATATATTCGTAACTTGAACCCGCTAAGGCAAGGATAGAGGTTGAGATAGATTCACCTTTTATTATAGTGATAGATTTAGAATCATTTTCTGTGAATTCGCGCTTATATGTGTTCAACCTGGAAGTCATACTTTCATGAAATTTAGTGCGTTGATCTGTCTTGGTCCAACGACGAAGGCTACTTAAAATTTTGGGATCATCTCATTATAATGTTTTAAAAAATCGTTATGTACAATTTTGACTTTTTGACCTTATTCTGAAAAGTCTTCCTTACTAAGTAACAGTACTTGGACATTCTAAACTTATACGCCAAAAATGGTTCAGGTGGAGCAATTTTGCGAACCCCCTCTCATACAATCGTTCCCACGAAAACCAAATCTTCATAATAGTAAATTGACAAAAAAATCAACCTTACCGAATTCAGATTACATAGGTTTATTTTTTGGATACCACAGCATATAAGGATTCTCAGGATATGTAAATACTTATACGTCAAAAAGGCCTAAGTGTTAATGTTTTATGGTGAAAATTTGTTTACGATAGTAATTTGGAGTAAAAATTAAGTAGACTACGTTTGAATCGCATCGGTCTATTTTTTGGACCCGATTCCATATAAGCTTTCCTGCGAACAGTAACCCCTTGAAAGAAAGATTGAATTTTTAATACCTTATGACGAAAAATGGTCTGTAATAGCAGTTTACCACCAAAATTAATGGTATTGACTTTGGATCACACAAGTCTATTTTATAGACCCTAACATAGGTAAGTGTTATCATCAAGAGGAACCCCTTATATTAAGGGAAAGCATAATTTCTAGTTTTCTATGACGGAATCTGAAAATTAATGAAATTTTTTGAATGCAAATTAACTTTGCTAAATTTGGATCACGTTGTACAGTGAATTGACATATAAACTTATTGTGATAATTTCAGACTGTGTAGACTACACTTTTCGGGTCCCTTCAAATAAAAGCGTTCTCATGAATAGTAGGCTTTCAGATGACAACAAGTTATAAATTTCTGGTATTTTACTTTATGACAAAGATAAATGAAAAATAGAAATAAGCGAAGTTGTGCAGGTCATTAACTAGTCGGTCTTGACCGACCATAATATTTTAATTTGTTCAAACATGTTTAATTTCTGTTTTTCAGGGCGAAAACCCTCATGAACTCAACGCCACGGCTCTGTTTGATGGATCATCTAGAACACGTAGACCCGAAAGTAGTAAGAACCATGATATGCTAAGAGTCGTACGACTGCCCACAACCTTAACCATTTGTCTGCTTTGTATTATGCAATGAATTTCATAAGATAAGTCGCAGAAACGTAAGAAATATCTATCCGCCGTGTGGCATGTTATCCATTACCTAAGATCGATACGTAAAAATTCCAAAGTATTTTGTAAAGTTCATGTACGTAAGTTGGGTGGTCCCTCTTTACATCGACACCTTCGAAGACATTTGTGCTAAGTTTGGGTATAATATTAATATTAATAATAGCACGTTATAAGTGCTTACTTATTGTGTGTGAGAGAGAATTGACTATTCACTCCGCATTCAAGTTAGTCCTGCGCCCGTAAACCAAAGAACACATATATAAAGCGTTTTGGGAAAAAAGATTGTTTTTTTCGGCTCTGATCGATGTCTTTAATGCCTCGTACCGTCTGTATAGAAAATACTTATGATAATAGTTCCAGAAAGCAGTTACAAACACGCTAACACACACGCACGCAACATATTCAAACACATACATGTGTTGGATTTATCGCAAAAGAAGACAAATGGTGTATGGTAGACGAAAATAAATAGATGCGAAAGTTCAGCCGAAATGGCCAAAAGAGCAAAACGCTGTAAACGCACACATGTAAGAGTTTAAAAAATTACCAAATATAGAAAATTTGCTATAAACGCAGCTGAGTAAAACTGGCGATAACCGGTGTGATTGTGAAATTTAGCTGAGTTAATTTAGTGAAACTTTACATACAAAGATTTAACAAATGTAAGATACAGTCTACGATCAATATAAAAACTTGAAGTGTGTCATGTAAGAATTTGAAAAAAAAAAAACATTTTTTCTTTCCAAATAAGCCAAAGTTTCTACCTTTACGCGAAACAAAAAGTCGTAACTTGTTTTTAGGCAAGTTCTCCTTTTAGATAAAAAATGTGTTTCCATTTGATTTTATCGAAAGCAGCGTAGAGTTCTGCGTAAGGCGTACGACTCAGTTTATTACTTATTATATAACATTTTGATAGTTTACACTTTCGTATTGATATAAAGTAACGGACACCGATGGTGATGACGAGGTTCGCGTTGTGGGTCCCCACACTGGTGTTGACGATGGTTTACTGCCGACAGGTTTTGAACGCGGCGCAGGCGAACGTCCTCATAGAAATCCCTCACCCAGACGCACAAGCAATGCTTTTCCCAGCTACGATGACTCCGGTTTCGTAGAAATCAATGGTGTACGAACCGCAGTGCCTGATGTAAATGCGTATCAACATAAGAAAACTTTAGCTCAAGGTATGATGGATTTAGCTCTTCTATCCGCAAATGCTAATCAATTACGTTACGTACTGGAAACGTACAAACGGCATCCCTATTATTATCCCAGCATAGTATTTATATCTATGAGTATTATTTTTCAGGTATGTATGTCATGTCAACTATACGTGTTGAAAATCAAGTAAAAAATAAATATATTACAGGTAGCTGTTGGTGTGGGCCTCATATTAAACGGCAAATACAATATTAAGAACAAGGCGGACATATGCCGAGCGAATCGTATAAATAATTATACTGTGATCGGTATATTCGTTATTACGGTAGTCAATGTTTTCATATCCGCTTTTGGAGTTGCAGATCCGCTGCCATAAATTAAATTACAATTTGTGACCACCGTCCAAGCAACTTGCTGGCAGCCATTGAAAACGTAACTGTGTCTACTGAAACCTCCGTCCCGGCCCAACAGAGAAAGTGAAATTTTCCTTCATATTTCAACTATTGCTAGCAGGATACCAAAACCAAATCCACTATCTTAACTCTAATCCGACCGCCTTAGGCGTTTGAGGCTCATTTGAGCTTTGGACTTAAAATTTTCGATTATTTCACTTTGCATTTCCAAAAGATTTTATTTTACTTTATTTTAAGTTAAAAACAAGTAAAACAGCGCAGTGGAGCACGGCCTGCTGTTAAATGCCCTACACCACACCTTCGCTTAGTTCAGTGACTCATATAACGTGTTATCTCCGTAGTCTGTCTGTCTGTCTTCTTTTAGTTTTGTGAGTCAGCAGATTAACAACACGTGACTCAGCCAGTTGCAACAACTGTGTTTGCTTAGTTGGTAAATTGGTCATAGGGAAGCCTATGTAGATCTTCGATCAATAAATATAATTTTTCTAATACCCCTAATGTGACTTTTCAAAATAAAGCTGTTATATGCGAAGTGGTCATAAATATTGTTCGATCTATGTTGAAATGCTTTCGTTCTTGGGGCACAATAGATCGGTATACCAAATTTCATTAATATATCTCAAAAATTGCGACATGTAGGTTTGACAGCTTCGGAAAGTGATACAGAATCGATCGATATAATAAAGAATGGGACCATCTCAAGTCCTTGTGGCTATTGCATACATCCCTACAAACGAAAAATATACTTCTACCTTGCAGTTTAAGGTATAAAAGCATCCGTATAGATGAGAACATTTAGAAGCTTATATATGTAATAGCATAATATATAGCACACTTTAAGCCATGCAGTCCATTTTCAATGGCAACATGCGCCGACAAACCTCCAATAGTTAAACCAAAAATTTTTTAAGCCGATATCTCAATTTTTGCCAGTGGGGAAATATTTACCACAAAACATTACACACAAGAACAAACGAATTTGCCAAAAATTACTTATTAATCGGGAATATACGTAATCTATGAAATGATGAGTACAAAAACAGCAAAATGAAGCAAGCACTAATTTGCAAACGGAAGAAGAAGAAAAATCGATGTAGGCAGAAAGACAATACCTTTTAGGCTTCAGTATACATAAAAAATTAATAAAATTATCATTTAGTAATGTACGTACGTATAACTTGAGCGTTTTGGTCAACTGGTTAAAAGCATGCTACTTGCAAATTTTATATATATTCCATCATCTACATACGTTATATAAATACAGGTTTTAATTTTAATGGTATTTAACATTATGGAAGCATTACTTTGTAACACAAAACAAGCATACTGATATTATCTTTTTGAATGTAAGTTATATTCAACAGCACACCTTTTTTTTTAGGAGATGTACTGGCAGAAAAAAGAAAACAAAAAAACGTTCCGGACGTACACGGACACGACTTTGATTTAAAAAAAATTTAATTACGTAATGTAAAGAAATAATAAAATAAACAAACAAGAACGTCATATTCGGCGGGAGCCGAATCTCGCATACCCACCACTATGCTTTCCGCATTCTACTCAGCAAGTTCTTTCATTTAATACCCATATCGCTGGTATTGTTACGAAAAAAATTAATCGCAGTATCTACCATATTTATTTTAAAATTAACCCATTTTTAGACAGATAATATATCTTCTTTCGAGGTGTGTACACGGTAGTTATAAACATTCTTTGTTGTTTCCCTTATGATAAATAAGCATAAAACCACAAAAAAGTGAAAAAAATAAGATTTTTAATAACTCGAATAGTTCCATTTTTGGACCTAAAAAGTCTCTCCGTCTATCCGTCTGTGTAATGTATGTTGCCTGGCCGCAAAAATGAAGCTATCGACTTCAAATTTGGCAGAAACGGTGAAAATTCTTGTAGGTTGGTATTGAAAATGGGCCAAATCAGTCGCAGAACAAGCCCACAGCACCACGTAAACTGGGAACACCTCTGTTTTTCGAATGGAGTCAAAAATTGATTTTTTACTTATTATTCATAAACTATAGCAAATAATTGTATAAAAAATTTGAGCGCATTTTCTATGGGCGATATTGTAGCATTTGTGTACGAAAATGGATAAAAATTTACCACGACTACCCGGTATTATAGTGTATCAAAATTGAATTGTTTTTGCAATACCTTTATAATGCGCAAAAACGAGCTTCAAAACCACATAAAGTATACAAATTCTTGGTCAGATCCAAATTTGTGATGCACCTAAGCCTGTCCGCTTATATGTCTGCCCATCTGTCTGCTTGCGCAACTTTGTGACAATATGTGACAAAAATTGTTCCGTTAGCAAAAATGAAGATATCGCCCACAAATTTGCAAAAGAATTTGGAATTGAAGTAAACTTTACAAAAGAGACACCCACGACGGCCACATATGCCTATACGACAAAAACCTTTAATTTTAAAAAGAGAAAAAATCAGCTGCGCCATAGAGAATGACAGAGCATGAAAATTACGTCCTTTTTTTGCTTCTTGCTGATGGGTATAAGAGATTCGGTCCCGGCCGAATATAATTTTCTTACTTATTATATATAATTTGTATCGCGATACTAACTTAACTTTAGTGATTTCGATATTTTCTCGAACGATTTGTTATAATCTCAAGGCTTGACAATCATATATCTTGCTAAAATCGTGATTATATATTTATTTATTTCAATTGTTGTTTCGAGATTAACATTTTGTATATAATAGCATAAATCAATAATTTTATGACTGAAAAGTGATCATATCCCTTTTTATTGTGACGATTTGCAAAGGATTAGTCGTACTATTAATTAAAATTTTTGTAAAAATATGTATGTATGTATCTCCTGCAATTTTTATATTTGAATTTTTTTTCTTTTTATATTTAATAAAAGCTATTCTTATTTATCTAAGACGTATTTTCCATAATATTCAGGGAACCTAATGTGCGTAGGTATATATATATTTATCATAAGTTGGCGACTATAAATTGACGAAGAGTTGGTTGTGAAGTTCGAGATTTTATTGAGATGTAGTTTGACTTTAAGATCATTTCGTCAATAAATTTAACTGTCGAGAATTTCAAAATCACACACTAAAGAAAAATGATCTGACGGGTATTGAAAGCTGGGTATACGGTTTTTCCCAATCTCATTATCGGATGGAAATTCCAGGCAATTTTTAACCTAATGAAATGAAAAAATTTAATACTTAAATAGATCGATAATATATATCATCAAGTACAAACTTTGAGTTGATTTTTTGAATAGAATATGTAATCAATTGTATGACATATTTCACTGTCTTCCCGTATTTTCCAAGTAGTATAGGGCGGTTCATTTCTTATCGATTGTTGCACTTTATCGTTATTATTGTGCGAATCATTTTTTGCATTTTTCTCAACTTCGTTATGCAAGTCGGCATAAGCGCTTGATAAATTTAAAAATTCGCAATTTAAAATTGTAGAATAGACCGGTTCAATAGGCTCGGCATTAAAATCCCCGCATAATAGTACTGGTCGACCTTCTGAAAATTTTTGAATAAAGTGTAAAAGATCGCGACCTTGTTCATTACGCAATTTTGACAATAGCGAGCTATGGCGAGCCTTTAAATGCGTTGTACAAACACAAAATTCACGTCCCGTTGCTTTAATAATCAGATTGACAGCGATCGCTACTTGATTGCTTTGCACATGCCAGACTTCTAAGGTATGCGTACTGAAATTTCTTAAAATATATTTATACCGATTAATAAATATCGCGCAACCGTCCGGTCCATTGTTATTTTCAATATATAAGCAGGGTGAATCAGGCTTTGGATAAAAAACTCCCTCGTAGTTCTGAGAGCCGAGAATTGTTTGCAAAAATTTGAAATGATCAACTTCCTATTAAATGTGCAATTTTTTTAAAATGTTTAAAAAGTTTTAATTGTTTAATGTTCACTTACTTGCAAGCATATAATATCGGGTTGATTTTGCAAAATTTCTTCGACTATCAGGAATTTACGATTAGCCCAAGTCAAAGCGTTTTGAGGGCAACTTACAAAACCGTCAATGCTTTGACCCAATGCTGTAATCATAAGGATTGAAATGTATTATTTAAATAAATTTATAAACTAAATAAATGTTTATACAATCAAAAACTCAACTATTCTAAAATAAAATTATATAGTATTAATTTTGTAATTTCAATAATTCAAACGATCTGCCAACGCATTCTACGTATTTTATTTTTATGTTCCCGTTGGACGATTTAACTACCACGCAATATTAAAGTCTCAGCGGGCGTTATACGTGAGTAATCCGGATATTCTTATGCATATCTACAATTCAAGTTTAGAACATTAATTTGATTTCACAAAATGCATACACATATCTATACATATATATAGATATATATCTGTATATAACAATACAAAACTTTTGTACTAGTATTCACTTCACGGAGTTGCCTCAAACATTTTATACGTAGTAAAACGAACAAAGGGAAATATTGATATCTTTCCTGATTTCTGAAGGAATAAAGAATTTTCCAAATATAACACTTATACTTCTTTCAGATGGTTTCCCAACTTTTCTTTCTTTTTCTTTGTTTTTTTTTTTCGGAGAATTTAATTCTTTTCATGACTTTGTTAAACTTGCTTTGAGATAAAAGATTCCATTGTAATAAGCGTATCTGGTTGGGATTTCTCGATGATGAGCCACACACTGGAATAATGAAATATTAGTTAAATTGTCTTAAAGGACGGAATATTAAATTAAATATACCATTAGACAACGATTTGATTCTTAGGTCACGCAAATTGTCCGCAACGCTTTCAGCAGCCATACCAAAAGGGTTCGATTTGAGAAAGTAACGCTTCAGCAACGGTAGTTGATGATCACCCCGCAATTGTCTAATATGTTGCAGCAATTTCTCGATATTTAAGTCGGTTGGCAACTTAAGTCCATCATCTTGCGAGTCTACATTGGCAATTTTCGTGGCAAGATTAAACGAGCCCATCCTGCATGCGATAGAAACGGACGTGAAACAAATGCGCATTAAATAGAAGCGTATTTCTGTTTTATGTAACGCTACGATCTGTAATAATCCTCTCTGCCTGTCTGTCTGTGTATCTGAAAGTCAAACTCATGACTGCATTATTTTTAGCGCTACTCTAAAGTACTACTTGAACAGGATCGGTGGTTGTAGAGACGAACGCACCTGTTATTGATGAACTAGCTAATTCGGATGATACGGTGGGAGGGGGGGGGGGGGGGGGGTTGAATTTTTGCCCCACGGACAATCCATCGACGGTTACATTTGAAAGAAAAGTACGTGTTTTACCCTTACAGGAGCGAATAGACAAATAAAATCTTACCGAACGGGCGGTCATTCTGTACCCTAACCTATGGTCTCTTTCGGCCCATGAGTTCTAATGCGTGGCCGCCATTAAATGTTATCATAACAAATAAATAGAATATATATTCAAAATTTCTTTATGTTATTGAAGTAACTTGAGTGTTTATCCAATGCAGGTTTAATTCTCCTTATAAATCACATAAGGTTTATATACAGAAAATAAAAATATACATATTTAATGTACTTAAATTTTCTCAGGCTGACTTTGTTAAATAAGCTCAGAATCTCACCTAATCAAAAATGCAATAGTTTTTCGGGGCCTACTGTTTAAAAATCGACCAAATTGGTTCGAGCACAAGCCCGCGCTGAAGCATGAAATTAACGCAACTTCGTTTTCTAAACAAAAATTATGTATGGCGATATCGGTATCAAAAAAAGAAAGGACTTGGAGAGTAGAAGGTGTCAAGCTAAGCGTTTTTATTTTAAATTAGTTACAGTGGGCGTCATAACGTAATCAATCAATTTTTTCCTAAAAATATCGTTCATATGGCTATCAAATAAAAGGGCTTGGAGAGTGTAAAGCGAAAACCCAAGAGTTTTAATTCTTAATTAAATGTGGTGAACGTTATGACGTAATAGACTAATTTTTTTAACAATACATTTTAATGAGTTAATAGGTGAAAGATCAAGAAGTAAAGTTTTAACTGTTCAGATCTGTCAAAGATAGTTTGCAAATTTTTACTGTCCATGTTGACCACTTCACAATTGCAAAGAAACACGGTATTCACCATTCGACTTCTGAGGAACGTATCAAAAATTTGGGGAACCATGGCCTTCATATTAAGTACAACAAATGGTGACAATTGGAATTATTAGTGTATAATTATTCCAAAGCGAAAATAAAATGATGTAGACAACCGCATATTGCAATTAAGACGAATCTAACAGCAACTGGTCATTAATCAAAGCTTTTATATATTCGTATCGAATTCCTCGCGTTCTTCGGTTCTGATTTTAGATCCAAATTCCTGAAATGAAGTTAATATCTGTCCTCTTCTCTCTTCTCTAGTTTCTCAAATTAAATGAATATGTTTGGATGGAGCTATATAAGTAACTTGTTCGTTTCGTCTTCTTTACTCCTGGGAATAAAATTTCCAAATGTTTAGTTCTCTCGCATGCAATTTTCTTTCATTTTCAATTGTAAATGAAAAAATTTCACTCATAAGCAAAAAAATCAAATTTGGCAAACTATGTTCGGCTTTTAGTTAAATATTTTATAACCACGACCGTTATCGGAAAAAATAGAAACTAAGTTTTGGTACTCTACAATATCGGGTAGGCGTAGCATACGTCCGTATTACATTTCTTAGACTGAGAACATCTATGTTTTTCAAAGCAAAAAAAAAACGAAATAAATAAATAAAACGCTTTACACTTAAAGAATCAGCCACGTCCAGTCAATATTATAAAGTAACAAAATTTAAATTTCTTCGTTTTTTTTTTTTTTTTCTGATGTTTTTTAAGATAAGCGTGTTGAGTGTAGAAGATTCGACCACATTCGGATATGATTTTCTTTCGTCGTGCAGTAATATTATTGTTTAACATCGTAATACGACTTTGATTTAAAGAAGAACATTAATCTCATTTATATATAAGGTGAAATTTGAAATATTTATGGGATGAAGTAATTAGTATTTTGGAAATTTGCTTTTTACCGTGTAAGCATAAGTTTGCTTATATATGCTTTGCGATCACTTTTGCGTTTTATTTGATATGTTGAATCCATTTCTTGAAGAGTTTTAACAAACAACAAAAAAATAAAATAAAGAAAAAATTTGTTTTTTTATTTTTTTTATTTAAAACTTGTACTTGCTTAAAATGAAGCAATCCGTTCTTGTAACAGGTCTTGAGGAAACTGTGAAATGTGATGTATTAAAACGGGGACTGGTTGAATATATTCTAACATATATGTAAGTATGTGAGTATATATTGTTCTCCTGAATTTCTTTATATCTTTTAATCACATTGTTTTTTTTTATTAAATGTATCGCGTCGGAGATTTGCATATCTCATGTGAAACAACTATTATTGCAATAAATGGTACATGACAATAGCAACAAAGCAAATAATGAAAAAGAGATTGACGTTTTGTCTTTTTATGAATTTTAATGGGTACCGATGATATTGCTCTGATTATTGTGTTAAATGTTTTGTATTTCAATATATTGCATTAAATTGCGTTCGTTTAAGTCTTTGTTATTGAAAAATTCACCTTTTTATTAATTATGTGGGAACAAACTTTGTAACGCGCATCATTCTTAGCACATGCGAGAATCGCCATATAGCTATTATTAATATTATGCAATGATATATGTGTAAATATCATCACTGAGTTAACACAACATCAACATATCAATCAATGATTCCCGGGCTGATGCGTACAGATTGTTTGAAGAAATCGCCAACTGTGAAATGACGTCCGTTAAGATTACATAACATTCCCATTATTTGTTTGCGAGTAACACTGATTTACGAGTGCCGCTAAGTTTGTTGTTTTCGAGACGATAGGAAAATTTTGATATTCAAACATTTTACTTTTTGATGATCAACATACCATTCAAATTGAACATTGGCATGAAAAATCTTGTAGTGGCTCTTCTCCGGATGCTGAACGGAGAAATGAAAAAATTAAAGAAAGGAAAAAAAAAAAAAAATAAAAAGAAAACTGAATATTATTCTCAATAATTGAAAGATGAACTTGTAAGACATAGCCAATATCCTAAAGGTATCAAAAGGCAGTGCAATCAGTGTATTTGAGACGAAAATTTGGCCATGAGCAGTGGGTATGATGTCACGTTCACTGGTAGTGAAATAAATCTCGACATGGATACAAAGCCAAATTTAAGTGAATTGAAATTCGAATTGTTGTTCAAAGCATCGCCTTCTCCAGATCTATTCCCAGTGACTACTGTCTGCTTGCCGATCTTAAAAAAGTGCCTCATTGAAAAGTATTTAGATGAGATGGTAAAATATCTGCAAAACCCAAGCATATTTTAAGGGTCTTAACAAATCTTCTTAACAAAAAAAAAAAAAAAACATTGATTCCTTAAAGAAACGTTGGACTGACTCTATAACTCTTGCAGGAGGAGAATGGTTGTAAAACTTTTTTGTTTTTTACTTTCATCCGAAAATTATTCGGCAATGTATTGCACATATATATATTTAATAACCAAGCAAGAGCATTAAATCTGATCATTTTAACGCAGCAAAGACACAGTGTATTTCATTTGTGGGAATGAAACCATTATATACATTATTTCTGCAATATAATTTTTTCTAAACAAATGGGTCAACGAATCAAATTTATAGAGAAAATATAAAAATTAAGAACAGCATATCTATAAGTTGATCGAAAATACTTGCGTTCTTCATCGAAGTTCGCATTGATATACCAGACAAATGCAAGACTTAACAAATTTTAATACAACGTGAAAATAAATAGCGAGAAGATGAATTGTCATCAGCATACGCATAAATAATTAAACGAAAACGAAGTATATGTGCACATATCTGTGAACTTATGTAACGCTTCTGTATATGCGCATGATGTATACGTTCCTTTAGTAAAACGAAAAACAAGCGTTCGAACTCGCAGGGAAGAATAACAACTTTATTTAAATTATAAAAAAAACTCTCCGATAATAATTCGAGGCGGCGTTTCTCTTTCCAACTTGAAAATAACAGTGACACTCAAAAAAAATTGATTAACGGACGAGAAAGGCAATAAATGAATAAAACTCGAGAAAAAAATCGGGGTAATCATGTGATTTTGACTTCTTTAATTGATGGCATATTTATATTTCTTTAAATTATTATTTATATTTTATATTTATTTAAATACATCATTGGCTAATGCCAGTCAATACAAGATAAATTAATAAAGGTAAGTATTAGGTCATATCGAAAAGCGTCCGCAATTTTATGCTTCTCTTTGTAGCCTGCTTGCGTGTCGGTCTTGCCCCACCAGTTGCAAAATTTCAGCGACTTTTTCATTGACTGCAAGCTGCATCTTCGACAACGAAATTTCCAGAATGGAATCGAGCAAACCATACCAGGGGTTTTCATTCACACTCACCAGGTTTCCACCGTGCGTTTAACAATTTTTTTTTTTAATAGCTTTTTTACTTTTTTTTATAAAAAAAAGCATCACATCAATATATCACCCCTTTTCAAATCAGTATAAATTTTTACACCAGCGTAGAAATAGCTATCTTCACAAAAAATGCAAGCTGAAATGTCACCTTTCAAGCACGTGTTCATTTGACACAATTAGATGTGTGTTGACCGACCATCCCGCGGAAAAAACCGCGGACAATTTTCAATATAATCTAACACAATTTCAAAGGTTTAACCGAATACGGAAAGATTCATATCTACGCAGAGTAAATTTGAAAATTGATCATAAACTAAAAGTAAAATATCTATCATAAATTAAGACGTACGCGACGTACTACTTAAGTAGTAAGAATTAGATGTTAAGTCAAGTACATAAGTACAAGTAATAGTGACATGAACGATTCATTTTTTATCAGGATGTGAAAAAAGAGAATGCGACCAAACTACATAATAACATTCTATAGGTATCTTGCAAAGAATGAAATCACGGGAATACGCCCTACGACGAATTACATTGAATTGGGGAGTCTTCTTAATAACAATTTCACGTAATCGCTTGAATCGTCCAGCGAAAATAAATAATAAAAGCCATTAGATTGCCTACAAAGAACACTGAAGGGAGAAGAGAGTTGATACTTGGTTCTAAACTGCGACAACCGAAGAGAGATGACATTCCTTAAGACTCTTGTAGAAATATTAAAATCAAGCCTACCAAGGACGACTGCTGACGAAATGTCATCTTGAATAAGTTTCAATAACAATACTGCCGATGGAGTTTGTTTTATTCCTAATAGCCGTTTTGGATTATCTTTGCGCGCGATTGCGAAATTACGTTAATAGGATACCGTGTTTAATCATTGATTATTGATTAGTTGAAAATTGATTAATTATTATTGAGAAATAAAAAAAGAAACAAAATTTTGAAAAGTTTACACAATTGAAAAAATTGTCAAAGCGAACTAATGAACTAAAAACAAACCAAACAACAAAAGAAGCAAAAAAATCAAAAAAACAAACGCGAAATTTATATTCGGCTGGAATTGAATCTTCTATACCCACCACTTTTATTTGAATATAATGAAGACTCGACATATCCTAAATTTGGACAAGCGTAGCCGTTTTTTCCAATTTGGCACAGGTATTGCAGGATTATCCATAAAATATACGCGGAAAGTTTTATCGTTTTCTTTGTATTTTCAGTTTTCATCGTATATATATATTACCTTTAACCAACTACCTGACAATAACTTTCAATGATTTCGCAAAATTTAAAGATAGTATCTTAATTTTTTCAATTTGAACAACATTTATTACACAAAATCTACACAGACGGATATACCGATATCATTTTAGCACTTGACATTGAGCGAGAATATACAAACCTTGTAGGGCCGCTGGATGTTTCCGGCTGGATGTTTTCATAGAACGAATATGGCTCCATTCTTCGCCGATAGGTGCAATCATCTAATAGTACTTTTTAAAGTTTTTTCCCTTCAAGAATTTTGCGAAACTCTTCCTTATTGCATAAGTCCCGTTAATATCAACATCCCAAAAAAAAAAAGATAGTAGTGCTAATCTAACATTTTAGCAGAACTACGAAACAGATATATTTAGAAGCTACATAAATAAAATAATAAATAAAAGGACAGACAGTAGTTATAAAGAATGAAAGTGTAACTGTGATTTCTATAGGTAGGTAAATAGTCGGCGGTTAGTGTTCAAGAAGATATTCTTATCTTTTTCTTTCCCTTATAGACGATTAATATAATTTACTTACCGTGCCACTGAAAACTGAGCAAATTAAATAAAAAAAAAAGAAACGGAAAACAAATAAATTTTTAAATATATGTCAAGTTTTTTATTATTAAAAAACTTTTCTTATCGTGTAGTGAAAGCTGCAGATGCATCCACGTATATAGCAAGCTAATTTACATAGAAAATTACTCTGAGCTCGTCTCGTTATATTTACCACATTGAGCCTTCTTTGAATTTAATAATCTTTATCATTTATTTATTAATTTTTTGCGATAGAAAATACATATTAACTTCGTTTGTCTTGTAAAACTTGACTAGATTTACCTAGCCTTAAATAAGTAGTCACTTGAATTTAAATTACTTTAATGAAATTTTTTGACTATTCGAAAAAGCTACTGCCATAATTACTTTCCTAATTCTACGGTGTTTACTCTAATGTTAAATACTAAAAGGAATATTAGGTCTCGGATATTTGTAGCCGCTGAACTCAGTAGTTTCAAACAAAGGTAAGTTCGGAGTAGTGGAAGAAAAGGTCCGAGTTCTTGGCCTATAAGTGGTCGGTATAATTTTAGCTGTTAGTTTGTAAATAGTCGTACTAGTTTTCGCTTCATAAGTTGGTTGTGGTGTTGTTTTGTACCTAGGTATTGGAGAGAGGGTCGTCCCTCCGAAAGAGGTCGTATTAGTTCGTAGTGTGCTGTATGTAGCTGGAGTTGTAGTAGGAATACGAGTTATTGTTCTGTAAGCGGTAGTTGTAGCTAGTGCTTTCGTTGTCCTTTCGACCTTTGCTGTTGTAGCTGCGATAGTAAGTGTCGGTTTAGAAGTGGAAATTGCGCGGCGAGTAGTCGATGTGTACTTGGGCGTAGAGGAACTTTGGCGTGCTATAGTTGAAGTCTGTAATTTGTAAGCGGGAGGTAAATATGTCGAGGCTGGTGTGCTGGTTCTTTGAACTGATGGTTGGGTTATTTGCACAGATGATGTTAAAGGTCTCCGGGTTGTTGTGAGTAAAGGTCGTGCAGTTACAGAGGGTGGAGCTCGGGTGGTCGTTGGCACATGTATTGTTGTTATAAAAGCTGTTGTTGGGATGCTACCGAATGTTTTGCTGATCTCCGTAGAAGGTCGTGTTGCTGCTTTAAAAGGCGTAGTGGTTACTTTTGTTATAGATGAACGCGTTTTGGCTGTTGTCTGTGATCTTGGGGTAGGAGGTAAATAAGTTGGAGCTGGAGTGCTGGTTTTTTGTGCCGTCGGTTGAGTTACTCGTTTTGGAGTTGTTGCTGGTGTTCTTGTTATTGTGGTTGGTAGTCTTGTTCTTTCTGTAGTTGGAGCTCGCGTAGGTGTTACGTAAACAGTTGTCGGAACCCGTAACGCATTTTTATAACTTGTGGTTGGGACGGTACCTCTTGTTCGATAGGTTGTTGGCGGTGTGTGTTTTTTTATTGTCTCAGTTATTGTGGCTGCTTTTGTTACCGGCGGACGTGTTTTGACTGTTGTCTGTAGTTTTTTGGTAGGAGGCAAATAAGTTGGAGCTG